GAGTGAATTCTCTAGAGTAGGATCAAAGTGGGTAAGTGTAGTGTGTCATGAACACAAGTGAGAATAAAAGAGTTTTGTGGGGAGTGACAGAGAAAATGAGTAAGATTGTATGAGCTTAGAGAGTGGTGTGAGAATAATATTTAAGTGATTGTATTTTGTTAATTAGTGTATTATAAATAAATTGTGGCGAGTATTGTGAGAGTTATTGTACTTATACTACTAGCCAGTTTATCATCGTCAGTAGTGTAATAAATTTGTATCTCTATTTAAAACTATCAAATTGAACCACTCCAAACTCAGCAGGTGATAACAAAACCTAACGGTCAGAAAGGACGTGTTAGAGCTTGGCGGTCAAGAAGGTCGTGTGACGGCTGGTGGCCTAGGACCATCATTTAAGCAAATTAGTTTTATTTTATTTGTTCAGAATCCAAGATTGTGTTGTCGGTCAGGTATTGAAATTCTACGTGAAGAAGATTGCATTGGCTTGTTGTCAAGAATTGTAGAGTTATTGGTGTGGTACCAAACTTAGTGATTTGTGAGGATACAGCACCAAGTCATGATGACGAATCTCAATACAACAGGAAGTTTTAGAAGACTCAACAGCCAAAATTATAAAACATGACATGCCTACATGGAGTCATATGTACAAAGACAAGATTTATGGCAGATCGATAGTCCATGGAAACAGGCTGCGCTACAAAAAAAGAGAAAAAAAAAAAAAAAAAGGTTGCTTCAGTACTTAAGAAAAACCATTACCGTGAAATTAACTACTAATTTTCCACCTAGTAACATATATATATATATATATATCCTTAGGTTTTAGATTGGCTTTTTCATTTTTCTCTGTTTGTTTTTTTTTTTTTAATATGTAAGAGGAGATAGAATTCTTTAGAGGATCTGCTGAAAGATAACAAACATTAAAGCTTTTGGATAAAAGAGGTTAAGGTACATCCATGAAAGGAGATATTTAAGCATATAGACAAATATTTCAACGGGCCTATAATTCGGCTGGCCCCAGTTTGGACTTAAATTTACTAAACTACTAAATGTCAGGGTCAAATTTGCCCATTTCCTTGCTTAATTTGCCGTGGTTCCTCCTACCGGCCTGTTATCAATTTTTTTTTTAAAAAAAAATCCAATTACTCTATATATATATTCCTATTGCATAGTATTTATTAAGGAGGAATGGGCAAGAACCTCTTTTCAATTAAATCTAATTAAAATTTATATAAACCAAAGCTAAGTTTGACAAAAATCGATATGCGCAAATAGAATAAATGGATTTGATAGTTAATTACATGGATAAACAAAAAAAATGTTTTTATGTGTTTACTTTGTTTAAAATATTTAACAATCAATTTATAAACTCAATTAATTTGTTGAAAAATACTCATCAAGTTTTATAAATTATTTAATAGGTAGTAAGTAGTTTACTATATCAATCAACTATTTCAACCACCATTACTACTAATACACTATTCCAACACTTTCATCACCGTTGTCAATCTACCATCGTCACAAACACTACCATATTTTAATAATAATTATTAATAAATTTTATTTTCCTTACAATATGTTCGTATCCTAGTTATTGAAATCTTTGTCAAAGGTTTATTGTTGAAACCTTTGTCAAAGTTCCATTTGCGCTCAATATAACATATTAAAATCATATCCTTAATTATTTCTTTAGCACTCCATAAGGCCATTTCTACTGAGAGAATATATATATATATATATATATATATATATATATATATATCAAAAACGTTATTGTTACTTTTAAGTTTTTCGTTCTTTGTTTTTTTTCATCATTTACTGGAGCACAAGTAACATTATTTAAATTATGGAAATTATATTGATAAATTCTTAAGTCTTAAATTAAAAATGATTTCTAAAAAAAAACAAAAAATAAACTTATAATTATCATTAAACAAGCCAAGAAAAAAAATCATATAAGTAATTTTTATAAAGGAGCTTTGACTAGTGAATAAAAATGGTAAACAAATTATTGAAAATCAATAAATGAATGTGCTTCGTGACTGAAATATATAAACAAAACTATAAAAATGTTTTGAATTTGTATGGACAAATCCCATCTTTTCTCTCATTATTTTCTTCTTTATTTGGCCACTATTTTATACACATGGACAATATGAAATAGATTCGGAGTATATGTTCGAAATGAAAACATTATAAAATTACCTAATATATAGGTCCTATAATGAATATAAATAAAAATTGCTACAAAATTCTTGACTTGCGGGTGAAAACATTATTTCATATGCATGACCAAATCACATAAATTTAAAGGTCATACACTAAAATGAATAAAATTACAAAAAAAAAAAAATTGAAATTGTTTCTAAAAGCAGTGCCATTTTAGGTCTCAATTGTAAATAATTTAAAACAATATATAGTTTTATTGTAGTTAAGCTCCATTATAGTTAACCAAAACAGCATCGTTTTGAGCCTTTTTTGGATTGAAACAACATTGTTTTCTCCCAAAAAAAAAAAAAAATGTTTTGTTGTCAATTTATTCAATTTTTTATATTTTAGTCCTTCGATTTATAATTATATTCAAACTGGTCTCTTGATTAAATATTTATTGCAAATAGGTTTCTGTATTTTTTATGACTTGGTTGTGCTTCCAACCTGCCATCCCCATGGGCCTGATTGTCTCTAGGCCCATACAGATGGGCCTGGTGTTAGCCCAGCAAAGCCCTCTCTTTGTTTTTGTGCTTTTTTTTATATATTTTTTCATTAATTATTATTTACTCAAAATAAAAATTATCTTTTTATGCTTTTATTTATTATTTATTATTTACTCAAAATAATTTTTTTCATAATTAATTGTTACTTTTTTTATAGACTCATTAACTAAATTTAAACACTCTTATAATGTAAATTAATTTTTTTAATAAATAAATAATTAATTGCAAGTTTTATTTTTTATTGATCAAAATAAAAAATATCAATACGATATATTTACACTCAATTATGGAGTGTGTGTGTGTGTATTTGTATCAAATTAAATAAATTCTCACAATTAGTGTTAATTAAGTTTTATTTTATTGATAGATTTTTTAATTATTTAAAATATTAAAACAAAAAAAATTATGGTTATTTTTTTAATAGACTAAGTAACTAAAGTAAACACTCTTCAAATATAAATTAATTTAGCATATTCTTCTAATTTGATTTAAAAATAAATAAAAAATATTCCTAAGATATATTTTAAAATATTAAACAAATTCTCTCAAGAATTCTTAATTTATTTTTATTTTACTCCTAATTTTTTAATTATTTAAAATAATAAAAATATTAATTGATTTATCCGTGACAAAGCGCAGGTATTATGATAGATTCCTCTACAACCAAATGCTTTTATCCACTGTGTGACTCTATTATTATCGTACATGTTATTGTTAATATTAGACCATGGATAAGCTCGTTTAATTTCTAGTTGATAGAACCATGATTTTGATTATTATTTTTTTTTTAATTGAATAAGTTTCATTCACCAAGATATATATAGGTTAGTTTTTAGTTGTTAGAGTCTAATAATTTAGACTTAGAGGGATTATTTCGCCATCTTGAAATATGAGGTCATTTTTCATGTCATATCTTTCTAGAGAGATTCAAACCAGAGACTTCTAGTTGTTCCATTAGGACTCCTACCAATGGGGAAAATTTATATTACTATATGTAACTATCAATACTTATTCTATAAGAGAAATAGACATAGAGAGAAGAGAAAAATAAAAGAAAAAAAAATTTTAAAAATAAAAAACTAAGATTTTGTGGGTCTAGATGGAAATATTCTCATGATCATTTATTGTGGGTCTGGATAAGAAAATTTTTATTTTTTTATCTATCTCTTCTACTTTTTGTGGATCTGGATAAGATTTTTTTTTCCTTTTTTGTATCTATTTCTCCTCAAAAATAGATTTATTGAGTAAATATTGTAACTATACAATATATAATAGTTATTCCTGAAATATTTTAAAATTTCTCCCTACCAATCTAGCTAGTTACAGATGGATTTTTTTTTTTTTTTTGTGGGGGGATGGGATTTTGCGGTAAGCGAAGAGATTTTGATAATGAAATATCCTAAAGTTGTTTACTTTGAGTGGATTATTCATAGAAGCTAGGATGCTTGAAATGTATTAATTGATTAGGTTTCTGATTTCCTACGTACACATTATTTATTTCTATATATACGATCGAGAATCCTAGTCTTTAAATGTAACAGAGCCCAGCTGAGCATAACAATACAAAATTCCTTCCATTCTTTCTTTGTTGTTACCACATATGTAAATTGTAAAGTTAATCATGACTCGCAAGATACGTTGTACTTTTATGCACAACAGGGCCAGGGCTCTGTAAGGCTTAAAGACTACGATTCTTATAATGGAAATAGATAGTGTGCAGGACGTCAGAATCCCAATCACTAAATTGCATGCATGCTTCTCTCAATAATCCACACAAAGTAAACAACTTATTACCTTCATATTTCATTATAAAAATCTCGTCACCTACCACCAAAAATAACAATAAAATCCATCCTCAGCTTGCTTAGATTGGTAGGAGTATAAACTTTCTAGGAAGATTTGACATGAATATACATGTATCGTAATCAATATATTTTACATACATGGATCTTGATGTATCAAGATCAAGAGATTGAATTAAATAGTTGAGATTAAATTTTATCTAAAAACACTTAATTTTGATGATGGATAACTCATTCTTAATTTTATATATCACTCATATTTTGTTTATCCGTTCGGATATGTTCACAAAAAAAAAAAAAAAAAACCATATATAAAAGTGTGTATAAAAGAAAACTATGACAAACAAATGTTACACACATTTATAGTATTGGAAAATTAGGGATGAATCAAGACTCTCCCTATTGAAAATTTGGGATCGTGGAGTATTTTGCTGCTAGTTCCTTCACAACTTTACTTCTTGTCTTAGCAATCACCTTATTTGGGATCATGGAGGATTTTGCTTCTAGTTCCTTCACAACTTTACTTCTTGTCTTAGCAATCACCTTATTTTACTTAAAGGTCAAATCCTACAAGAATGTCAAGAAACGCCCATTGCCTCCGGGTCCAAAACCATGGCCTATTGTTGGATGCCTCCCTACCATGCTCCAAAACAAGCCAGGGCATCGATGGATGCACGATCTCATGAAAGAAATGAACACTGAAATAGCTTGTATCCGTCTAGGAAACACTCATGTAATTCCTGTCACTTGTCCTGAGATTGCTTGTGAATTCTTAAAGGCAAAAGATGATATCTTTTCATCTAGGCCTAATATCATTACCACCAAGCTCATATCAAAAAATCACTCATCAACAGTTGTCACTCCCTTAGGAGACCAATGGAAGAAAATGCAGAAAGTGCTAATGACACAAGTGCTTTCTTCTGCAAGGCATCAGTGGCTTTATAGCAAAAGAGTTGAAGAAGGGGATCACCTTGTTCATTACGTGTGTAACCAATGCAAGAAGTCTGCAAATCAAGAAGGGATAGTTAATTTGCGAACGGCTTCACAACAATACTGTGCAAATGTGGTTAGGAAGATACTATTTAATAGAAGGTTTTTTGGCGAGGGAATGGAGGATGGTGGACCTGGTTTTGAGGAAGAGGAGTATGTGGAAGCACTTTTCAATATCCTTACTAATGTATTTTCGTTTGGTATCTCTGATGTTTTGCCATTTCTAGCTGGGCTTGACTTAGATGGCTATGAGAAGCTGATGAAAGAGAATTATGGGATCATCAATAAACATCATGATCGTATAATTGACCAGAGGATTCAACAATGGAAGGATGGCACAAAGAAGGATGTGGAGGACTTACTTGATGTTTTAATCACACTAAAGGATGACAATGGCAATCCTTTGCTGTCAAAAGATGAGATCAAAGCTCAAATTGCAGTGAGTTTTACGTGCATTTAAATTTCGAATTCCAAATGTATATCTTAGCGATGATTTTTGAACATGAAGAGAATTCATTTTGCAGGAAATAGCATTGGCAATAATAGACAATCCATCAAATGCTTTTGAATGGGCATTTGCAGAGATGCTAAACCAACCTGAGATATTTGAAAAAGCTATTGAAGAACTGGATAGAGTGGTTGGAAAAGAGAGACTAGTCCAAGAATCAGACTTTGCGCAGCTCAATTACGTGAAGGCATGCGCTAGAGAAGCCTTTAGGCTTCACCCCATTGCACCATTTAACGTCCCTCATGTATCGGTCGCTGATACAATAGTCGCCAACTACTTCATCCCAAAAGGTAGCTGCATTCTGCTCAGCCGACCAGGGCTCGGTTCCAACCCTAAAGTATGGGATGAGCCACTCAAGTTCAAACCAGAGCGCCACCTCGATGGAACGAACAAGGTGGTGCTCACTGAGAATAATCTGCGATTCATTTCATTTGCAACAGGAAAACGTGGGTGTAAAGGTGTGACACTTGGGACTTCAATGACTATCATGCTATTTGCAAGACTTCTTCAAGGGTTTTCTTGGAGTATACCACCTAACCAGTCCTGCATCGACCTTACCATTGCAAAAAGCAGCATGGCTCTTGCAAAACCACTACTTGCAGTTGCAAAACCACGCTTGCCTCCACATTTGTATCCTGGATACTGAAGCAGGTTCAGGGAATATATCTACAAACTATGTCAACCTATACATTTTAATAATTAGAAAAATAACAATTTCTCTAGAGCTAGCAAAGAGAGAGTGAGCTCTTCATAGACATTTTGTTATAAAGAGTTTTGAGGGCTTGACATGATTTTTTATGTGCCCCGGTGAAATGCTTTCTAGAATTCAACTTTGAAGATAAAAACTTGAATCTTCTTCTTCCTTATATTATGGATCACTTCATTAGCCAACAAAACACCATCAGAATTTTCCTACCAGCAACGAGTGCGGACTGATTGTCACTTGTTTACCAAGTTTACACCATCAAGCCCTTGCCTTCTGACGCCACAAAGACTCCAATTTCCTGCTAGCAGACCACATAAAGAAAGTATTGAAAATTATAATTTACCATCTCAGAAGATGTCAAATCTCGAGCTTCACGAATCAGGTTTAGATCGCTAATATTGGTCACTTGTGCATCCTTCAAATTCTGATGAACATTGCCGAAATAATTAAAATTTCGCTCCCTCAGCTTTTTTCTAAGAAGAGACAACTTTTTAAAACCCTGAAACAATTAGGCTTAGCAGTGCAAACCTCAAGCCACATTCTGTAATGAGTTTCTGAACCCCTGATGAAGCCACCAGAAATCAAGAAACCTAAAAAGTCTCCAACCCTAGTCAATAATGCCCGGACCAAGATAAAAAGAGGGTAATGGTCCCTTTGAAGACCAGTCAGATTGCATTCAGGGAACTGCAGCATCCAATCATGACCAATTTGGAGAAACATTTACATATATAATTGATCACTTTTGACTAGATATGGAGCAATATTTCAGTCAAATGTGATAGAATATTATGAGTCGTCGAATAATCGTCCAGTAAAATAAAGAAACGTAGCTCATCCCTTGAAACGTAGCTATACGTTCACGCTGAGGGATGAGGGTCTGAAACACTGGATGATTCTTTGTACTAGATACTTGTAGAACAAGTCATTTTAGTTTGGTGAGAGATCCTCTAACAATCAAGTTAGCAGTTAGAAGGTGGCGAAATGGCCTGAAAATGTTCTTTGGAGAAAAGATTTTCTAGTATGTAAACAGTTTGCAGATGAGAAGGAATTGTTCATAAATTAAAACCTGCTTTTAATTTGATTAGAATCCCCTTACTTGTGAAAAAAACAGTTCCTTGATTTTTATGCAAATTATTTAAACAAAATCAAAAATATTTTTCTAGAAAATTACTATATCTATATTGAATCAAACTGGTAAAACTCCACATATACAACATCTGAACAAAAAACCCATGCAAAAACAAGACTGACTCGTAGGAAAATGAGGGAAAAAATTAATTAAAGAGTTGCAAGACTGCCTCCTCTTTGTACGATCAACTCTAATGAACAGCAAAAGCCAATAGATAGAGACAAGTAAACAAGACAAAATAAACGACCAAATTAAATAAATGTTACACATTTATAGTGTATGAGACTCTAGATTTGGTCAAGGACTCTCACCCTATTGGAAAAAAAAATTCTTATATAAAGCCACACAAGGAGCACCATGACTGTCAAGAACAAAAGTAGATAATAGTTGTTTGATCATGGAATTTTTTGCTGCTACTAGCTCCTTCACAGCCCTACTAAGCTTCATAACTTTAATAATTGATGAGAGGGATCAACAATGGAAGGATGGTACTAAGAAAGATATGGAAGACTTGCTTGATGTTAAAATTACCCTAAAACATCCTAAAGGCAATCCCTTGCTGTCAAAAGATGAGATAAAAGCTGAAATTGCAGTAAGTTTTAAATGAATTGAGAGGGTTGACATGTAAGAATATAAGATAATTTACAACCGCCGTTTTGAAATTATGAATGGAGTGCAAAGATTTTAGGGTTTGACACGATTCTACTTGATACTGGTAACCATGATTGATGAGAATATTATTTTAACTCAAAGTTGCTTAAATCAACCAAAGCTTAATTGGCCCATGTGTTTTGAATTGTTAATTGTGGGCTTAAAATCATGAGTGGTCTCTCTAATTTCCCATTTGATCAAGTGGATAAAAGGACTCGAATCATCATTAATTGGAAAAAGAGGTCACAGCAGCAGATAACGTGGTCTAATTTGATCAGGAATTATGGTCTAACTTCCTTGGCTCAGAGGAATTATGGTCTAACTTCCTTGGCTCAGCCGATCAAGAGAAACATATAAAAACACAAGAAATTCCTGTTATGATCACAGTGACAGGGAGAACTTCAAATTGAGCAACCACAGATTCTAACAGGTAAAATTAAGTGCCAGACTTGTGTTCCTCCATGAGTGCATGAGCTTGTGTGTGCGGATGCGTGAAGGAGAGGGAGAGAGAATTGAAAATTAAACATAAAGCAAAATTGCATTTTCTATGACTGTAGAGAGAGATGTAATGGCACCACCCCTTTGGAGAGGACAAAAAAAAGAGAGAATAAATTACACTATTAGAAGAAAATTGAACTCTTCATTGACTACCAAACCGATCTAAATTGAGTAAAGAGTACCCTCAATCGCGTCTGCTCTCGTGAGTCCACCCTATTGATGCAAGAAATGCTTCATCAGACAGGCGCCTCAGACTCTCACCACTATGTTGAGCTGGCCCTCCATGTTGATCCCACACCAAGCTTGATAGCCCATTTTGCTTAATGTAACTATCCAGCGGTGAGTTGGCTGTGTCAACAAGGTTCATCGTGCCCAATCCTGGTATGTCCAGCGACATGTCCTCCCGATTGGGATGACAGTTTAGGTCTATTTGTCCAGCACTAGTTTCTGGCTTCTCAGTTTGTTTTTTGCTTTGATTTCCTTCAATCTCTGAATTATTTATATGCAACACTTCATGAATCATCGTGTCATTCACTTCTGATTCCTCCTTGCAATCCATGTTGTCCTTCAGAGAAATTTCTGCTTCACGTTCTGATTGGCGTTTCTTCTTGCGGAGCATGAGGGTTTTAAAACGGCGCTTTACAGTCATGCACACATTACATGTGCATGTGGGCTTGTGCTTACCTTTCCCGCTTGGTGGTTGAATGCAAACAATGCAAGTGCAACCAGGGCGGTGCCGGGGATGCTTTGTAGTGGCTCCAATTGATGGCTCGCCTGAATCATCTAGATTGTCTCCTAAAACTGCAGCACTAGCCAGAGCATCTAAGCCAGAAGGCTCACACTCATGGAACTGCTTTTGACTTTCTAAAATCCTTCGCTTCTTGAATTCTGCTTTTGCAAAGATGTAGGGGTGGAATTTCAGATCAAGGACATATTAGGAGATTCATCAAGGATAAAAATCATTCACTTCAAAGAAAAATGGAAAATATCACCATGATTATTCAACCGTCTTTTGCTTGATAGTAACTGAATTGCTGATACATGTATCAGGTTATTAAGCTTACATTTCAAAAGAAAATCTTTATAAAAAACTATCACCAACTATTCAAATCTTGTGTTTTCCTTCATAATGAAAGATTATAGCGACCTGCATTAGTATGAAATTTAAGCTGTCTGGTCATGATGATTTCACCCACTTGCATTAGAATTCGTCGTCACAACATGAAATAGGAAGAAATTGCCTATTTGTCTGTCCAGCTATTGCACTATATGCAAAAACTTACTAGCACACATAAAATCACTCAGTCTACAGAAAACTAAACTCTGTCTAAATCAAACCACACACATGAACTCCTCAATGTATAAAAGCTTATACAGAAAACAGAAAGGTCTGGTCATACCTTTGCTCACTCTCAGAAGATTATCCAAATCCTTTGAAGTCATCTCTTCAGGCGCAGAACATGTACACCTAGGAACATAGACCATTAAAATTGAATTGTGAAACCAAATATCAATCAAGAATGATTTTTAATGAAATATCCTAAATAACACAAAACAATATTTTAAAGATAAAAAGGAGCAACCTGCTTGAATCCCAAGCATTCTCTGAGCACGTCCATTTTGGAGGGAGAAGAGCATCCACAGGAAGCTTTCGCCATTTAGAACAATCATCACATTGAGCCCACTGTTCTTGTCCCCTGAAGGTTCAGTTATTGAGCGTTAAAATAACTAATATTGAGCACTTCACTAAACAAGTCCATTCATGTAGATTAAAAGTTCCACCAAGTGATCAACCTTCCAGCAATCTAACATTACCCCGGGCATGCTGCATAACTGTAGATGTTTCCCTTGCACTAGTTGTTGTGATGGTGAAGATGGGAGAGAGAGTGGGGTATATTACAAGCTCAAAACAGATGAATGTGGGTAGAATGAATGTGGGTAGATCTACTAGATCTCTCTTGCTTCCCTTTGATTAAATGTAGTAAGAAGCAGGGAGCAAGCAGGCAGAAGGAACTCTGCCGTTGTCCATATCTAGGACTATGGATCACAACATCCCTTTTTCTATTAGAAACTAACACAGCCTTATTCAAAATCTGAGTACAATGGACTATAAGGACATGTTGACAACATACAAATAGTACATTGGACAAATGCTGAAAGGACTCCAAGATATCCTTTACCAACAAAATTACAGTATATGTGTGTGTGTGTGTATTTGGCTTGATACAAAATATAACACTATGCATATGCATAAATCCTTACCCAGATGATCGAGAAGTAAATATGGTCCTCTTCCCAAAAACTGGAGGCTCCTAAATGATATAAAGAAATTTGATCAAATAGTTTATCCAGAAAAAATGGTCAAATTTGAAACTTCAATGCTCTGAATCCTTTGAAGCATCATTGCACATAAAACTTGCATTGCATAGGCAAGCAAAAACATTGAACAAGAGAAACTTACATCATATTCTTCAAATTCATGGTCCTCAATAGTGACAATTGTTGGCTTCACGCTTGGGGGTGGACGAATCAAGTCCTGTGCTTCCTCCCATGTTAGTCTTAGCTCCATAGCATCTTCACTGTGCATGAGTAACCTCTTACTTTTAGGTCCAATATTTCGAGTCCTTTTCTTCTCTGTCGGTGCTGTTATTTGCTGCAGTAGATCCCCATTTATCCTGCCCCCATGGTTCTCATTATTGTTCCAGCCAATATCCCCATCAGCTAATTTCAAATGTTCAGACAGAGCTTTTTGGTCAGGATCTTGCTGCCTTTAATGATTTCGGAAAGACAGATCAACAACTTACTGTAAGGAGAGTCTCAACAGTACCAGAAAAAGAAGTTTCCCCTGAAGCAGTGCCATCGGGAAGACCAGATGCTTGGGCGTCCTGTTCATTCAACAAGCAAGTACAAGTAAATGTAAATTTGCCCACACATCAGAAAAGAGAAACAGCATCTGAAAGTAAAAGGATTCAGAATGAAGCGAAAACGCCAGTAGGCTCAACCTGTGTATCTTCATTGTTGTTTGTTGACTTCCGAAATCCCATGACAAGTTTGCCTCCAGGATCTATCCGGCTAAATGTTACTGAAACAGGAATACAATAGCATTCCTAAGATAACATTAGAGAGAAAGAGAAACACATGACATGCAAAAGATATTTACTTCCACTGGGGTAAAGGATGCAAAAATATGACAAGCATAGTAGACCATGCAGTGATCAAATGTGGCAGCATTAATGCGTTTTAGTTCTGTTGGAAAGAATTCAAATTTCATACAGATAGACAAAATCTAAGCAGGCTAATGCAGCTGAGAACTTCTCCCTTCATGCCCAAACAAGTTATATTGTGTTCCATTAATTTAAACATCTATACCACCATCCTGGTCCATGTGTAGTTCCTATATAAACCAGCCCATTGTTATGGCCTTATATTTGAATGATGCAATGTATATCCTACATAGCTATATATTAACATCATCCTTTAATCAAGAATAGAAATCAAGCATGCAACCATCCCCAGCTAGGAATAGCATAAACTTTATGCTAAAGCAACAAAGATTACAATCCAATGTGCAAAATATGTTGTGAGTACTCGAGAATTAATACCAACTTTAAGCAAGAATATAATCGAGCATACTTGTATCACCCGCTTTTAATTGCATAGAGTGTATGCAAGGGGTTACACCCTCCAACACATACATCCTACTGTTGTTGTTGGGCCAAAATCTGAACTGAAACGTCCATTCTCTCCCTTTTATATCTTGAATCCTTAAAGGAATGCCTTCAGATTGAGAAATAGGAGGAAAATATGCCTGCAATGGCTTAAAGGTTATACAAATACAAAAGCAAAGAGGGAAGCAGAAAAAAAGAAGAGTAAAGAAAAAAACAGCAAAGGCTGTACACTTTTTAACTTACTTCTGCACATGCTTTTGGGAGAACCAAACGACCAATTCGACCAGCATCACTAGCACTGAGAATCTTCTCAAACAATGGCACAATATTGGAGTTCAAACTTTTAGATAACATACTTAAGGAAACCACTAATTCTGAATCCGTTGATGATTAGAAGGAAATACAACACACAAAAGCAAATTTATCCAACAAAGTAGACTTTAAAATAAAGGATACTCTCCAGATAATTGCTGCAACTCTTGGTCAGTGATCCTTGGCCAATACCGAGGAAGTAACTGATTCTTCCCACGCCCCTCAGCAGGTGGCCTTGCAATCCGCAGCTCAGAAGCTGCACCTTTGTTGTTCTCTGAACTTGCAGAAAGGCCAGGTTTTGAGGGTTTGGGCAATATTGGTCTAGATCTTTGTCCCTGCTGAAAGGAAGGTGTTTTGCCTTGTTCCCTTCCTTCAACAGGCCCAGCAGGAAAGGGTGCAAAATTTGTTGCCCCTGACGGAGCTCCCAATGCCATACTCAGAGATGGCTGAGACAGTGAACTGTGTATATCTCTCATGTCTAACAATGAACTCATATTGTCTGGTTTGGCGAATTTAGATGATCCAACTGATGGTTGAGTCATGTTTGAGAAGCCTGTGCTAATATCCCCAATTGCATGCATGATCTCTTCTTGTCTGAGTTGCCCAAGACATCCATTACCGTTGGCTCTCTCGGAGGGATGCAATAGACTGGGTTCATTAGCCTCTATAAGCCTGCACAACTGAGCAAGTCCTCCCTCATCATTGCTATTACCAGCCACTGTGTTTTCAACTGGAATGGACTCCAAATCACCAGCATTATTTCTTGTCAAGGAGCCAAATCCATTAGGAATCTCATCACTTTGCATCTGTATGAACAAATAAAAAAGAAAAATACTGCCTTACAGCATGAATTGCCATGGGACTAGAGACACTAAAAGCATATTGTCTTACAGCCAAATCATTCAAAAAGTCAATAAAATACATTACCCTATATACAGCAATCATAAGCTTAAGTCATCAAACTAAAACACAAGCATGAGAATCTATAGGCACGTGCAAAAATTAGTTGACTATATATAGCTTAAGAATAAGCTTCTATAACTATTCAGCTCTTTCACAAGAACACATTAATCATCTCTGACCCCAAATTGTAGGAGGAACAAGCAACAATCCTGAAAACATTTCTGGAGAATCACCGAGACGACCAAATTCTTCAAATCCATAATGCTTGGAGCCTATTTTCACATGTGTAGCATGTGATCTAATGAGTCTCCAAAACTATTTATAATTCATAATTTTGAGAGAATGACTAGTAATGGCAGAAAACCAAAAGCAGTTGTTTAACCCAATCAAACTAACATTCAAACACGATACATACAACAAATAAAAAATGCTAGAAGCAATTCATCTTACCGAATGAAGTCGAGAACTCCTAGCACAGCTAGTACACCCAACACCCCCATAATCCATAAGTTCAAGCAAGAACTTAGAGGCAATGCATCCACAGTGGAGACGCTGTCACACAAATTTCTATTAGACTTTTTTCTCTTCTTTTTTTTTTTTTCTTTTTTGTGGGGGAGGGGTGGGGGCCCGTCTGGCATACATTGATATAATCTTATAGAGGTTCAACAAAACAAAGGAAGGATTTGAAATAACCAAAAGCTAACAGACCATTATCTTACCTTGCTGCATATATTGCATTCCCTCCATCCGGGTTCCTCTGAGTGGAAAGTATCACAGAAAAGGGAATCCTCAAATGCAGATCTAAGTTACATATAAAGATACAACACACATCAAATAGTGAAAATCAATGGAAGCAAACATATTGACACCAAATAGAATGATGAATCAGAAACGGGATATTTCTGAAAAAAGGTAAAAGCATCTTGTAATGCACACACAAGGTCTGCTAGAGTAAATGTTAAACTGTTGCAAAATTACAAAGTTATAAGGTATCTCATAATTTCACAAAGTATGCAGAAAAGACCATGGAGATGGGTATAAAGCTTCATGCATTACATAAACTCATTTAAAAATAAAAAATCAAGTACATCAACCTCAAAGAGCTTGATAGGAAAACAACTGAACCAGTAAAATCTGTTGAAAGCAACTGAAATGGCAACACCTCTATCAAATATTAACATTTGCTGCATTTGCAGTTCATGTGAGAATGGATTGTTCATTCAAATTAAAATTAAGCATCCACTTCCAGTTAAATGCACGACATAGCTCATTATCAAAACGAACCAATTGTCAAAATTAAGGCTAAAAAAAAAGTGAACAGACAAGGATTTGAATTATTTTTACACCCCCTTCCAGTGCCTCTCCTTTCCCGGTCAAACATAAAGTTCATTGCTGTAGACTCCTGCTTAAAGATGAAGTTTAATAGGTTCTCCTAGGACGGCCAACAATTTCCTTCAGTTGGTTACTATCATCAACGGAGTTCAATACATCGTGGCCATGGGCGCAAAAACACACAGATTGGGTGAATTGTATAGTTGCTTATTAGGCCATAATTTGCGGCTTATATGCTATAATTAAGATCAAAACTTCCATTATATAATAACAAGCAGTAGCTGGTATAGCCGGTTTTGCTCAAGTACTTCTTAGCTAATTATAGGTGTGATAATAACCATAATCACAATTCTTACAACAACGTACTAAAACACTGCAGATAACAGAAACCTAGTCAAGTCAAAACCCAGTTCAGAAAAATAAAAAATCAATTAGCAAAAACAAAAAAGTGATGAACTTGAATCAAAACCTCACATCCCCAAGCTGCCCTTGAAGAAGCTACTTAGCTAGCATTGGAATTAAAATTAAATCCAGTAAAAAAAAAAAACAAAAGAAATTACCCGCAATTGTAGCAGAGAAGAGCATGACCGCCAGATCGCAAAGGCCAACCTCTCTTCCATTCATGAGTCGTTGAAGTTTGACACGATGCATTCATGCAAATCTTGGTGCCCATTTCTTTTATCCGAAATAAAAATCAAACTCTTTTAATTAATAACCAACCAATCACCAGCAAAAAAACAAAAAACAGAACCCAAATCATAAAAATCCCTAAAACCCCTTTTTAACCAAAACCCACAATTTAATTGAAACAAAAATCAAAACTTGTCAGTCTAATCTCGTCATGCACAGCATTATAAATAACTTCAAATCTCAACAACCAAATAGTAGAAAAGAAAAAGCCCAAATCTTTAAACAGAAAAACTAAACGAGAATTAATCTTTTGAGCATATTCACCTTCATTAATATAAAACCAGAGAGCTGGTGATCAGTGAGTGAAGCGAAGGGAATAGAAGACGAAGAAGAAGGGAGAAAAGTGAGTCAAAGAGAAGAGAAACAGCGAGTTAAATTTGTTTGATTGTGGTATTGAGGATGGGCAGAGAGAGAGAGAGAGAGAGAGAGAGACAAAGAGTGTGTCTTTGTTTTATAAATAGAACAGAGAGAGAGAGTGCATGCAAATATGCTAAGGAAGGAAAGAGGGGAAAAGGAAAGATGCATGCACGACACTTGACACCGCTTTCCTAACAAACAAGAAGAGAAGAGAAGGGTAGTCAAGTCGAGTCGAGTCGAGTCGACTCTTTTTCTTTCGCTCACTCATTCGGACACTGATACCATTACACGGCGGTTTCGTGGGTTTTCGCGAACTGTCATATGATACTTCTACTTGTACTATAAGTTTAGATTAGTAGATGAGGTTGTCCCCTTTTGTTCTTTTTCACCACTAGTTGTATCTGTTTTTTATTATGTTCTTTTTTCTTTTTTTCTTTTTTTTACTATTTTCAATAAAAGTATGTGTTTGGTAATAATAGTGTGAGTTTCAATTATAAATGTATCAATTTAATTTTTTTAAGTGTTTTTAAATGATTTTAACATTTTTATATTAAGATCATAAAAAACATACAAAAAAATACAAGATTTGTGCCTTTTTCAATTGAAAAGTAATTTAAAAAAATAATTTTAATCACAATATCAAATACACAAAATCCATTATTCATACTCCGACTAGTTTGTATATGTGAATTCTTTTACTTATTCAATTTGATGTTATTCTAAATTTGTCTAAAAAGTTTTGATCTTCACTAATTATATAAAAGGAAAAAAAAATCCATTTCAAAATTAGAGATTTACAAAAAAAAAAAAAATTATATGGATCAAGTCGTTAATATGTTTTAATTAACGTTACTTAATTAATTCAATTTTTAGGTGTTTTAGTGAACAATTGCGATAAATTAAGAAAAGAGAGTATAAATTTCTTGACACACGATATGTTATTATAATTTGATAATGCTGATTGGTATAGATTTTATGGCTTTAAACTGAGTATTGGGAGATATTGTTTACATGTGGGCAAAAATTTGTTGATTATAATTGCTATATAAGTAATTTACCTCCCACAATGATTTATTTTTCAATTTATCTTCAATTATTAAGGATCATAATCTCAATCAATACATAGCTATCTATCTTTTCCTTTTTCCTTTTTCTTTTTTCCTTTTTCCTTTTTTATTAAGCAAGACATGGAGATGAAGTTTCAATCTACATCAGCCACTACAATATTATTATTTTTTCAATGCGTAAGCAAAATTTTATCTTGTAATTAAACTTAATTTTGTATACAATTATTAGAGGTGAAATTACATATATCTTATCTAATTTAGCTTAAAATTAAATGCATGGTTAATTAGCTAGCAGTACTAAAAAAACCAATCACATATCGTACATGTTTTGCCAATATATATATATATATAAGACAAGAGCATTATATTCTCCTGGCTTGTCCCTTCTCTTCTGTACTTTTTCTTTCCCAAAAAAAAAAAAAAAAAAGTAAAATGTTAAGAACACATGCATAACAGCCTTGATAAATTTTCCTTTTCTAATTCTCTGGAATTTCCAATAAATGGGATTTACAGTTTCTAATTATCTTCTGTCTTTTCCTTTTTTTTAAAAAAAAAATTGTATTAGCTTTTCACTAAATTGTGAAAAAAAGACATCGATCATAGTCTTTGGAATGCTATAAAAAAAATTCCTTAATTTCTAATTATCTTGAATTGCCAATAATAGGATGTACAGTTTTGAATTTTATACCAGCAACTACAAATGAGAGGAGCAATAAATGTTAGAGGGAAGAAATAATTTGCAGTAATAAATTTACAAGTGAACTTATATTATTAGAGCATCTTCAACGGTGCTCTCTGCTTTTAGTTAGTATTTTTAATATAAATATAGAGCATCATTAATTATATAGATTGAAGATCAATGTTCTCTCTAATATTACTCTCTATTTTAACTCTTTATTTTGACAAAATTCATAAAACCAGAGAGATTATTGGTGAAGAGGTTGAGTGACGTAGAAAATAATAATTTTTATTAATAAAATATAAGATAAAGAATGACAATGTAAGGAGCAACAGGTTACAAAGTTGGCAATTAATGGATAGCACCTCTGATCTGTATGTGGATCCATACAGAGACCTTAAGAAAAATAAAAAGAAGATGTATAGTCAGAATGGCATTTACTTTGTTGTTTTGAGGTAAGATTTGGTAGCTTTCTTTCTTTAATGGATCGAAATCATACATCGGTGCTCCAATAACTCCTTTTAGATGAAGCAAACCGTACGTAATTGACTATATATCCTAATTCCATGTTTGGTCATGACCCATTACTGTACGTACGTGGTTGAGCTCAAAGTTTCAGGTATATAAGCTATTTTTTTTATTGGAATGACGCGTCGTTCAAGTCTTTTTTCGTTGAAGACGCCGGGTTCTGGTCAATTTGTCGAATTGTAGTTTGCAAGATGGCAATATGCAAAAGCTACTATTTTCCTTTCATTGTTTACATATATAAAAAAAGGTTTCTAAACCCTTTTATAATAATTATTCTAAACCTAAATGTAACTTAACAGACCATTTTCAAACAATTAATAAATATAAAAATTGATTTGAAAAAATTTAAATCTAAAATTTCATATCATCATTATAGCTTTTGGTTTTGAAGGTGAAACGGTTTAATTTTTTTTCTTATATAATTTATATGATAGATTGTCGACGCAAGAAGAAAACAAAGTTGTTCCATCAATATTATTCATCTTCTTAGCATGCATGCCTAATGCCACTTCTTGTTTAATTAATTAATTAATTAATGGGTTTAATTATAATTATAAATGAACAAAGCACTTCATGATCCTTAATTAATTGTCAAATCCCATCAAAACTAACACGTGTATTGGACAACAGAAGTAAGAAACATCTACTTACTTCCTATCTACCATCTTCTGTACGCATGCAGCACAAATATAGCTTCCAGTGTCTTCCACACGAGAAACATGAAGAATTTAAAGTGTAAGTTATAAATTAGTCCCTCTAGTTTTAAAAAACAGATTAACTAATCCTCTTTTGTTCGAAAAACTAATCATTTAATTTTATATTTTAATTTTTTCTTATAAATTAATCTTTTGGATCTTTGTCAATTTATTTTGAGTTTTTTAAAATAAAAAAATTAAAAATATGATATTCTTAAAATAAAAAAATATTAAATTAAAAATAATCAACACTGATTAAAAAACCAAATAATTAATTTTTGAAATAAAAGAGATTAATTAATAAAATAGAGGGGCTAATTTATAATGACCTAAGAATTCAAAGAAACAATTTGTTAGCCTGGGGCCATAGAACCCACCAAGTTTTGAATATTGTTCAATTTAACCCTTACATTTTTGGGTTGTTTCAAAACTTGTATTTTGTTCTAAATCCAATTTCTTGCTCTCTTTTTTATTTTTCACAGTTCTTCCATCCCTGACTGTATTCTTCAGCCATTGAAATCACATGTAGGAAATCATTCATATGAGAATTTATTTATTTTTCAAAAGCATCCCTGAAAATCAACATGGGTCCCATTTATAGAATATATGTAGGACCCACCAACGATCCTATCCTTTATGGGCCCAGTAGTTTTAGAATAAGGACCCAAAATTCAATTCTGGGCCCAGAAAGAAATATTGCCCTTTAGGGTTTGGGTTCAAAATATTTGCCGGGAAATAACACATAGGTTTCGCGGGATCTCAAAACAGTCCTATTTAGTTCCTTCCTAGGAATTTGAAAAAAATTATCCACAGAACAAGTAAATCATCATCTCTTCTGCTGCTGCTAAACCCTCAAGCACTTCCAAGATCTTGGGTTTTTCTTTTTTAAGGTAAGTCTAACTGGAAAATCTTTGGTAATGTTCTGTTTTCTGTTGCTAATTAGTCTTAAAGCTTTTTTTTTTTTTTTTTTTCTTTTCAAGGTCTTGCATCTGTTGAACTTTGTGATTATGCGTGTTTTGTTTCTTCAAGATTGTGGTTCTTTTTTAATTATTATATTGGGGTCCTTTGTTTTATAGAGAGAAGGGTGAGTTTATCCAAAACTGAAATTTGTTCTTGAAATTGTGAGAAAATAATGCAATTTTGATTTATTAATGGGATTTAGAATTTATCTGCAGAGAAATCAGAGGCCCTTTTGGATTTAAGAGTTGGTGAGCAAGAAATTGTAAAAGAAAAGATGTTAAAAACTGCAATGCACCCGACACGTAATGGTTCAGGTAAAATAAGGGAGGGCTTTTGCTTGTTTTACTTACTCATGCTGATTTGAGTTATTAGATTCATGGATTGCAGAGTTGAATTGATTGTTTTATCGTTGAAACCGTAGATCATTGTGCTGGTAGTTCGATTGAGAAAAATGATGCTATGAGAATTTGGCTGGAACTGAAACAAAATGGATTTATCTCGCCTTCGTCTGCCTCAATGCCGAGGCTGAAGCCAAAGCCAAAGCCTGCTCCATTGCCAACTAAGAAGCGAGAGAGACACATAAATGATGGGTTTAGTGAAAAACCAGAGCTTGCTAAGGTGCGGCGAGTTGATGGGTTGGCTAAGGTTGCTGCATCTGCTTCTGGATTGCTCAAGAAATTTAATCCTGGGACCACACCTTCTTCTGCTGGTATGCTGCCAACGCCAAAAAAGCACAGTGAGAAGTGTATGATTGCTGGACCCAAGGGATTCTTGAAGGTTTTAGAGGTTGAACCGAGCAAAATGTACTCTCGGATTTCTCCACCATGTGGGTTGCTTAATGAGTTTAATCCAGGGATTATAAATCGGATACGAAGCAGTAAACAGGTCTTTTCAGTGATTCAGGCTTTGGTGAGAAGAGATACAATAGGAAATGTTGACATCCCAAGTAGGCAGGAAAATAGATTTGGGGAGAATGATGCAAATGAATGTCCAAATAGAAGTGACAAAAAGGGATTGTGTTCTAAGGCCCCAAGTGGCAATTTGTGTGTGAAAACAGAATACGAGGAAGAGGTTGGTGGTTTGGGGATAGCTGTGAGAAGGGCAGACAATGATGATGACAAAGATGAAGTGAAGTCATCCCTATCTTCAATTACAGCATCTGAAAATGCAGCCAGTTCTGTTCACAGTGAGGCGTCAACGAGCACAGCAATGGGTTCTTCTCTTTCTCTAGAAGGTTATTTTCAATTTGAAATTAAAACCCAGCCTTATTAGGCTTTCAATGCTGTTTGTGTAATAGAAGGTACAAATGATTTTCCTTTTTGCAAAATTCCATACACGTCAAATTTTTGTGACTCGGAAAGACTGAAGAGGACAACCCTCAATGTCTCAGATTTACCTTATTGAAGTTAGACATTAGCATCTACGTGTCCAAAATGAGTGTGGTTACTTTTCTCTTGCTATGGCTCTCCCACGACTAGGTTGCTTAGAGTAGAATCCCCATCTCAACTGCTGTGACATGTAAAGTGCACTTTTTTTATTAATTTAGTTTTTTTTTTTTTTTTTTTTTGGCTCGCAGATGCTAATGCAGCTTCTCAATGGTTGCAATGTCTTCGCCATGACATCACAAGGCGTCTAGAAGGTGCATTGCACATTCTTTAAACTTGTCTGGTTGTTTGTCAGAGTATATATTTGCTTGTATACCATAAAGCATCCTTTGTTTCCTTTATGAAGCCAGCATTGATGCATAGTAGATCGAGGATTCAAAATGTGATCCGGACAGAGTTGCCTGCACTTATGCTCAAAGAGTTTTCAGTTGACCAAGAAAACGAGCTCTTTGCTGCCAGAAGGTCTGTTTCTATGAATGTGGATGTCCATAAAGCAAAGCGGGGTACTCAGTTTGATCAGATGGATAAGGCACTAACTGAAGAGGCAGGTCAACTGGTAGGTAATTAAGCATCTCACTGAAGTTCCTTCAAGACGTTAATGGTCCTCCACTCTGCAGATGTTTATGAGCATACATTTAAATGAAGATTATCATCTAAAATGACAATTATACTACTGTGGACATCAATTCTAGGAACTCTGGTTGAAACAAGTAATAGAAATGCAGTCACGGAACGATGAAGTCTTCTGTCGCCTCAATCAGTGTACAGGACGTCAACATTGGGCCATTCAAGTTGACACCACTCCAGGTATTGCTTTTTTTCATTGATCAATTACAAATACTGTGATTGCAATTTTTTGTTAGATGAGTTACCCCTGTTGGGGTGAATTATTGTTTGCTATTACAGTAAAATGGTAGTTGGTTAGGAGCAAAAAGGTAGTGCTATGGAAGGATTTCAATTTGAGCTGTAGGGATTGTTTAAGCTGCATATAAAATGAATGGGCCAGAAGATGCCATTTGATGCATCTGTTTTCCTTTAAAGGTGGTTCCGCTTCTGATAGATACCAGTATGTCCAACTATGGTGTCTACGTTTGCCAAAGAATGAGGGTTTGGTGAAAATGCTTAGCTTCACATATCTACATGTACACATTTCTGACATCCAAGGCTGTCTCTTTACCTCTTAGGAGCACAATGTTAGAATCTTAATGCATTCACCGATAAGTCTACGTTAAACCTCATGCTCTCTGCAGCATATCTGTTTGCTTATTTTATTTGGACTTGTTTTCGTTTCACATTTGCGCCTCTCATTCACAAAAAATAAAGATGTTTAACTCTCTCCTTTTATTTTCCAGGATTTTGTTAACACCATGGAGCCTCCGCAGAGCATACTGCACTGATATGTTACTAGTCTTTTTTGCTTTGACAGTCACTGTGTTGTATCTAGGTGCTTCTTACCTGGAAAATGGTGGGTATATAGTTTTCTTTCAAGTCCACATGACATAGTTAGAGCTCAGTTTTACTTGGGCTGGCAAGTTGTCCTCTAGCCATTTAAATTGCTCTCAGAATGTAAATGAGCATATTGTTAGTCATTCCGTTTCGGATCATATCTTGCAAGTTAATGCCTTAATGTTATGCTGTTCCTTTTTGCACGCACAAAAAGACTTGTTCTTCCTTCTATGTGCGTTTCCATTTGTGATTTTTCTTTTTTGCTATTTTTTTTATCCTTTTTTTATCTTTCTTTCTTTTTATCTTATATTTAAAATAAATACGTTACTTGGTCAAGCCAAGCCAATGTAAGTTTTTCGTTTTTAGTTTCACATAATGGAAGAAACCAAGTAAACCCTTCTATATATGACAATGTTAAGAAAGGAAAAAGGGACCCATCACCCATTGCGATGCCATTATTGTGAACATTTATGTACTCTTCTTGTTGAAATCTATGATGGTTTGGCACTTTTCAAAAGGGATTCGAACATTCTTTTCATAGCTTTATAGTATCCTAACTGGCGATGCATGAGTTCCGAAAACTGAATATTTTCATTCATGCCAATCAGTACCGTAAGTCCCTTTCCTCACTATTTAGAAACTTCTAATTTAACAGTTATCAAGATGCAAGGTTGTGGAACCATGTGAAAAAGTCTAGTGACAGAAATAAAATATATCAATATACAGATATACAGACTCGTTTCTTGTAGGGGAAACCTTTCCTGTATTTTCTGAGATATTAAATAGCCCAAGAAGAAATTTCAGAAAGCAAGCATACATATTATAATACATGATAGAAGTAACCATCAAAGGTAGTAGATGGCTATAGATATTTGGAACATCTGATCAAGCAGTGGGGTAGGAAGCTTGCATTGCTATGCCACAGAGTCCTTCCTTTGCAGATATATCTTTCTGCATTCGGATGTATCCCTCTTCCCCCCATTGTGCACCCCATGAGTTCTTCACCAGCCAATACTTCGTTCCGTCGCTGACTCCATAACCAACAGCAGTGACACCGTGGTCTAGTTGAGTGTCACAGCTTCCGGTAAAGATACCACTGGAGTAGAATTGGAACTCGAATCCACCAGCATCAATTGCGACCGAAACTGGTTGCTTAGCAACAGCCTTCATCAGTGCAGCTTCACTGTTTGCTGGCACGTCTTTGAACCCGGTTATCTTTGCCGCATGGCTGGTTTCTTTCTGAGTGTTGCAAGTGCCATCGGTTCCCTTGTATGGGTAGTTGGCCCCAGTTGTTAGGCCTTTGTTTTGTTCAATGAATTTGAAGGCATCATCCATCAAACCACCATTGCAGCCTTGATCCTCACCCTTAGTGTCACAGTCAACAACCTCTTGCTCAGAAAGAGAGATCAATTTACCAGTTGTTAGCTGATTGATTCCTTCCATGGCTGCCACCGCCGAAAATGCCCAACAACAACCTACATTTGATTCAAAAAAACCGAAAATGTTAGAAAGTATCCCTTTATAAGCTCTCGCTATTATTTTCACTGAGATAGGCACTTACCACACTGTCCCTGATCCTTGACAGGGGTCACAGCTCCTTTCTTTCTCCAGTCCATGGTAGCTGGCACTGCAGAAACATTTTCATATCTGAAAGGGCCTACTTGTGGAGAGCACATATGGCCTTTGAATCTATTGCGTGAAGCTTTGAACTCATCATTTGTAAGATCTGCATATTGATTGACACCAAGTTTGTAAGATTTGCCTGTTTGGCTGTTGAAAGCATCTATGCGTGCAACATTTTCCTTAAATATGTTGTAACGCGTAGCCTTCTCGTTATCATCCTTGTATACACGTCCATACTGAGTCATCCATTGCTCATGCCTCTCGTACATTGGTGCATCCAAGAGGGTTCGAGCTATGGATTTAGAAGGCCAAGCTCCCAAAATGAAGAGCAAGGCCAAAGAAACAAATTGGAATTGTTTTGTGAACCTCATGGTACGCTTGGAAATCTTATCAGCTACTATAGTACTGAAGGAATTAAGAAGCTAGCAGGGAGGCATACTATCTCTACACGCACTACGAAATTTATATAGCGATACCTCTGATTGAATTTTGTCTATATTATTTCAAGGCTTGCCTTTCAGGTCTACGTGCCCTTCAAAATGTTTTGATTTGGCCTCTATGATTTGCTAATTTTATTGGCGTATTATAGTTTTCTTAGCAAATGTGTGGAGAACATTACATTGGAATATCTCTCTCTTTGTTGTCTGGCAGCTATGGCTTAGGACTAATATATGAGTTAAGCTGGGATTTTAGTCCTCTCTTTTGGCTTCAAATGCTCCGTATATAGTTGGATTTAGACCAAAAAAAAAAGAAAAAGGTCTTACCGTGCCGTTTGATTCATCAAATGATCAATGGTTTATTTTAGTTTATTAAGTATAATAAATTCTATCAACTTGAATCAAGAATCGAATATCCTTCATATTTTCTTAATAATATTGTATTTTAGTTTTCTTAATTGCAACAAAGACATTGTAAAGAAATGGGAACAAAAACAGTAAAAAGGTCGCTGGCATCCATCCCTTGGTAACAAAAACATTAAAAAGGTTGAAAGAACATTTTTCTGTTTGGTATTTAGTTTGGATCCAACAAGCCTATATACTTTTCATGCATTAAGTGGCCACGGGCTACTTTAATTAATTATGTTGGGCTAGCTCGGTACTTACATTTCTCCACATGTAATAAAGGCCCACAATGTAGAGCAGCAAGCCCGAGAAACAGAGATCGATGACAAAATAGGTGTATATTATTAAGATGGTTCGATGATGATGCCTACTCTACAACCACGCTAAAAGTTCTTATTAAGATTTATTAAATGATGGCTATAAATAAGAATAATGTTATATTTATTTATAGTGTGAACAACTAAAATTATAAAAAAAAAAGACCTAACGAACTTATATTTCGGCTCAATATTTTGTAAATTTTTTAGGGCTCTACTCTCGAGCCCTACAAAGGGTGCTACACTGCTACCCCCTTGACCTTCGCTTGATAACCGGCTCGTGAGACCGTCATGTTGGATCTGTATAGCCTTTCGTATTGTGAACTTTCATCTACATCGGTCTCCACAACTTAACATCTAAATTCATTAAATAATAATAATAATAAAACACTCAAAATTTATTACTCTTTTATGTAAATTGTTATTTCCCTGCCTTTTTATTAGAATTCGTATAATTAATTATTTTAAAATAGTGAGTTCCTTTTTAAAAAATACATAACTCATTTTGTTGAAAAATGTTTGAGAGTTGAGGTGGCTTGGGATCAAAAAAGAAAACAATTTCAATTTAGTTTGAAACATATATATATATATATATATATATATATATATATATATATATATATATATATATATATAATGTGATATTAAATATTTTTTATGTTTCTTCATTAAATATTTTTATCGATTTCTTTTAATAATTTAAATCTAATATTCATATTTTATGCAATGCTGATTTAAAGAAAAAATTGACTAAAAAATTAATGAGCATTAGTATTTTAAATAGTCGTTTGTGCACGCTACTCTACAGACTTCGGTAGAAAAAATCATTTTAAATTTTTTTAATTTTTTTAATAATTTTTTTGTTTAAAAAAATAAATCACTCTTCTTTGTGGATTGATTTTAAAATAAATAATTTTCATAATATTGTGTTCCAAAAAATAAAGTTATAATTAATTGACATATTTTTACAAAAATTAAAAAAAAAAGAACATAAATTGATTATAAAAAAAAAAAGTAAAGGAAAAAAGAGACATACGTAGTGCATCGATTAACGATTAAAATTTTTATTTTAAAATTTAAAAAACTAAAATGAAACAACCTGAAAATTAAATAAATAAAAACTAAGATTGATGAAAAAAGCAAATGAAAAAAAGAAGAAGAAAAAAAAAAAAACCTTTGCTCTAAGAATGAATAGTGTATTGTAAGAGGGTGAATAATGTTTTTCACTATTCAAATCCCTCACCTGTTTTACTTTACAGTAATAATGCAAGTTCATTAAGCAACTTAGTGTTAATATTGCCATTGAATACATGTAGCTGTTGTAATAAAAACTTTCTTTATGATAAGGTGCTTTTATGCTTCCTTCTTATTTAATGATAATTGAGGGTTTTGAAAAAAATTTGATAATGAGTGCTATTCTTATAGCAAGTATTGGAGAATAGACCAAAATTTATCTAGAATTATGTAATCTAATGTTATCTCTAATCTCTAGGTGGATAGATTTTTATAGCAAATGGGTTGAGTATCATTTTATCTTGAAATGAATTAATCATATTTTTATTATTTAAATGAATTTTCAATCTATTCTTTTAGTTAATTTTTTCGATAAAGCAATTTAAAAACATCACATGATTTGCAAATAAAATAAAAATACTCTTTCTTCTAAACTTAACATGTAAAAGTCACTTTTTTTTTTTTTTCCGAAAAAATCAATCACTCACGTGTGTGAAATTAATCACACACGAGGGTGGATTAAATTACCTCACAAACTGAACTTGTCTTTCTTAATCATTATGTCGAAATTTTTTATTTTTGAAACATAAAACCCAAATATCCGAACCTAGAAAACCTAATCTGTTTATACCAAAACATACTAGCTAGACCGTGCATAATTTAATACACCCACGTATGTGATTGATTTCACACACGCGGGTAACTGATTTTTCTTAAAAAAAAAATGATTTGCACATGTTAAGGTGAGAGGTATATTTTCGTTAAAAAAATATCATCTGCAATTCATGTGATAATTTTCATATGATTTAGTCTAAAAAAAAAAATGACCAGAATGATAGATTAAAAAATTACTTAAATAACATAAATATAATTTATTTATTTTAAAATATACAAATAGATTGGATACTCAACTCATCATGCAAGAACATACCACATTATTTTCCCTTGCTTTACCAACCAAAAACCATGTTAATTAATCATATTCTCATGTACATTTGTTTCTTACAACAAAATGTACTAGATCCTACACCTATTTTCACAAAAAAAATTGGTAATATCGGAAATAAGACCTCTGGAACCACAACACGTTAAATACCATTTTTGATCAACTCACTCATCAAATAGAGTGTTAATAATATGCAGTAATATCTTATGACACGTGTATTTTAGTAAAAGTCGATAAAATCTACCTATGATAGTAAAAATAGAACTATTTTAAATTCGAATCTTGAAACTTGAAACCAGTATTCAAAAAAATTGTTCTCATGAATGCAACATATGGACACAAGTTTATGCTTTTAAAGTTATTCGGGAAAGAAAAAATAATCTTGATTGACATGTAGGCTGTCAAAAGATGTCATGACTGTCCAAATACAAAGACAAATCAATGGGACCTGCATTGTGCATTTAAGAAATGCATATCCAAATACTTATTAATTAGGCAGTCACAATATTTGAACAAATCAACTGTGTATGTTAGTCTATGAGGAGATGAAATAGGAAATACGTATAAGTGTAGGAAAATGTACCGTATTTTTTATTTGGGAGATCCCTTGAAAAGAGGGAAAAACAAAAACAAAAAGGTATACATTCGGCTTTTATTGCATCTGCAATCAAATCACAAACACCAACAAGTATTTCTGACTCGTGATTTTATCTCTATTTGTTTACCGTACTTCACTGATAATAATGTGCTCAATTCGCATCTTATCCTCTTCCTCTTTACTTTTTCTTATTACCGTTTTGTTTTACTATAGATTCACAAGCATAGCTGCTAATTCAAAAGATAAAAACCAACTCAATCAAAACTTGTATTGACTTGACATAGCTTATCTATCACTTTACAGTACATTGCCCTCTTTCTTTTTTTCTTCTTGTCTTGTTTGTTCTCTTTTTGGCAGTCTTTTTTCGTTTTTAGCTACTTGTCTTTTTTTCTCCTCGAAATATTCTTTCCTTTTCTTTTTGGTTTTGTTGAAGCGGTTTCTCTTTGAAGGTAGAGATGGCCAGCTCCTCTTCATTATCCTCATCTTTTTCACCATCAATGGGGTTTGATTTTGATGAGAAACCGCATGTTTTAGCTGTTGATGACAACAGCATAGATCGCAAAGTCATGGAAAAGTTACTCATCAACTCTGCATGTAAAGGTATGAAAATGATTTTTCCCAAAAAAAAAAAAAAAATCTCTATTTTTATTTACTCATTATATATTCTCCTTGAAAACAACTTATTATTTTTTTAGTAACTTTGCTCTTTCTCTGTTACCTAGTTTCTACCCATGGTTTTGTAAGATTAAAGATAAAGGTGATTTCCGATAAAACGATACTTTTTGTTCATAATCTAGTGTCTAAACAGAGTAAATAGCATCATTTGTAAAAAAATAAAACACCAAATTGACCACATTAGCTAGTCTAAGGAGAACATAATTTCCACTTCAGAAGTTGATCATGCCACCATGGAAGTACTTTCTAGGGTGACAAGTGTAAGACAGTAAGAAGACTCATTACTGAAGTGAATATTAGTAAGGACTAGACCTCACCCCTTTTGTTTTCATGCTTTCACTTCGAGGAAATTGAAAAGAAAAGGAACACTTTTTGGTCTGGCTGTCATTTCTGCTTGTACTTTTTGAGAGGGATTGATTTGTTTGGACGTTAGAGGTAGGTAGGAACTAGCTAGCAAGGGATTATTTGGGAATAATAATTAGCACGTTTTTCATTAACCCTAATTAATTAGCAAAGAAAGATTAAGCCTTAGCTCTGAGTTTTAGACGCTTGACTGGAGTTTTTTATGCTTCACAATTTGATTTTCATGATGATGACAGTGACCACAGCAGAAAATGGGAAGATGGCATTAAAATATTTGGGGTTAGCTGATGGACAACACCCTAATCATAGTGTAAATATAGTAGCTATACAATGAAAGATTGATTTTTGGTTATATATATGATTTCCACTATATCATTTGTAATTCATGGGGTTTTTTCCAGGATTTGAGGGTGAACATGATCATCACTTATTATTGCATACCAGGAATGACAGGGTATGAACTACTGAAAAGAATTAAGGTAAACATTAGTACTCATCTTCAATAATGTAGGCATTCTCCTCTTTTTCATTTCTAATCTAACCTTGTATGGTTTCTCTCTAATTTCTAGAAATCACCTACCATGAAGGAGATAGCGGTAGTTATAGTGTCATCTGAGAATATCCCTATGCGAATTAAACAGTAATTACTTGCATCGAAATCTCCATTTGTTTCATCTTTGGTTGGAATTTGTCATTTTATTTTATTGAGAAAAAGAAACCATTGATTTTTTGAATATTTTCCACCTAAACAGGCGCTTGGAGGAAGGAGCTCAAGAATTCCTGTTGAAGCCTCTTCAGCCATCAGATGTGACAAAACTAAGATGCCACATAAAAAAGCTGAAGAATCCATCAGAAGGGAGGCTTTGCAGGGGAAAATAAACATGCAGAGACTTGAAGGAAAATATTCTGAACAGGAGGAATGATTCTAGGGCTACTGCAGTTAATAGAAGATTGTTATACACTTCAAGGTCTCATCCCTTAATGCAGTTATCTATATAGAACGTTTTAATGTAAGCACAATATTATTTGCCTTTTGTTTCTGCTTAATCAGCATCTGTAGATAATTTCATAAGGAATTTGTTCAAATTTGAATATCCAAGTTAACCCAGAAGCAAGGGAACAGATGAAAGTCCACAGAAAATTCTATACTATGCATCACCGGACATGTTTGATGCTGTACCCATTCTTAGGTGCAAATGAAGAGACCTGAGGCCATAAAATGCACACAAATGAATAAAAAGGTTTGCATTCTGTTGTTCTCTCTTAGTCTCAAAAGAATCTCTAAATCTAATTATTGCAGGGAAGAATTTACCTTCTTTAAGGTGTCTGTACAGGAGACGCCTTTGGTGCCTTCTGCACACAAAGAAGTTGAAGAACGTAGCTTTTTAGCATCATTACTGTGGGAGACGAGTCAAGATGGTTACCATCTCCAGGTCCTTCATTTTCTGTTTCCGCAGTAAGATGAGCCAAGTATATTAGTTCAGACAACAACAAAACCTAAGCCTCAATCCACAACAAGCATATTGGTTCAAATTAGAAGTTAAAAATAGCTAGGAAGGGGCATTAATCAATTCAAAAGACTTGAGACTTGGCTATTCAAGACTGAAGGCAAAAATTTGATACCTTCATTCCCATTTGGGCGAGGAGAAACTTCAGCATCATGGTGATATCTGACACCATAATAAGCCGCTTTAGAAACCACACATACAGGTTCAAATATGAAGCATGAGAAGGAGAGTGGCTCAAATTTCATCAAACCTACTCTTTTTTATCAACACTGCCTTCAGATTTGATAGGGATCTTCACGGATGATGACGTCTCCAAAGGTACATCTTTTGCATCCATGCAGTAAAGACCATTATCCTCAGACTCTAATGCATCCACTGGCTTCATGTTTTTCCCAACAGGGCTGTTCCAAGTCTTGACTTTCTCATAATTGGTTTGCTGAAATTTTGATCTATTTTTCTTATCCTTCCTTACGCTTTCCTTTGCTGATAACTCCAAAACCAACTTCTCTCCATGAGAAGCAGCATCATCTGATGCATCTGGAGAATTGATTTCTAACTCAAAATCTGGATAATCCAGAGCAAAATCTGGCTTGGTTACCCGAAACTCAACCTTTGAGAAAGTAGGAGAATCATGGACGTGCGTGCGACTAGATTGTTGGCAGAAGGCAAACTTTTCAGAGATAAAACTGCTAGATGGTGAATGTTTAATAGAGCCACCATGTTTGGATGTCTCAAAAGAGAATTTGGCATCAATTTGTGGTTCAGGGAAGACACCAAAAGTATCTTCGGGCCAAGGCTTGGAGCTTGAAAAAGGATGCTTAGTTTCTGAGGTCCGGCATGGTGAACTGAAACCCATATTCATTTCTGCTGACCCATATCCTTCTTTGAACAACCAACTCCTACTCGACCCTATTTTCTCCTGGAAAGGACAATCTAAGTTGTGGGCAGATCTTGACTCTGATAGCATTGGCTGCCGCATGGATTTTCCTGATCCAAATACACTATTTCCTTTCTGAATTTCTTCACCATTTTTGAATCGTCTTCCCTTGAGAAAAATGTTTTTAGCACTGCTATTTTTTTGAGGGAAACCAAAAGCATTTTGATGCCTTCGGCTGCGTCTTGCTCTAGAGTTTGATGGCGAAACATCTGTCTCCTTGCCCCTCACTGCTTGTGGAAAAAATCATTTTATCTAAAAATTGAGTTTAGAACAAGCTGGATCATAAAACCGTCTAACCCAATAAAAATGCATAACCTGCAGTGGACGAGCTCGACTCTTCACTGCCAAAAATTAACAAAGGATAATGAAACATCAGTAGAAATAGCAAATGAATTAACTTTGTGTAAAGGGGTAGGTGTGGAGAAGCACTAACATTTACCTCAACAAGCTCTGGTTGTCTCTAGCATCTTCCGCAGTAAAGCAAGACCAATCAGGTCGGACGGTTGTATCTCCGAAACCAAAATTAGTACGCAGTGAAGGCTTCCTGTCATCACTTGAGGGCAAAACTGTGGTTTAAATATGCTCAAGATACTAAGACAATTTCACATAAAACTTGACTTACCTAGCCCTTTCAGAAATCATGAAATCAAAATCAGTTTCAGATGTTTGGTGCTTCAGAGAGGGCGAATCTAATCAGAAGAACAGAGAGCAGTCAGTTGAGAGAAAAGCCGACCAAGGTCCCTTTTCTCATGAATCACTCAGTCTTCCATACCAGATATGCAATATTATACAAGCAGTAGGACAAAACAACATTCTCGCATCATCATCATTTTATTGGTGATGATGACAACAACAAACAGCAGGTAAAAGACATTGGAACATATGATGCCACACTGGTATATCTTATAGGAAGAATCCCAGTCCAATTGAAGTCTTAACTCATGAGACACTTGACACAACAAGCAACCAAAACCGTGGGACCAAGAAAAGATCTACTAAACAATCATTAATAATCATTTATACAAATGATAAATACTCTAGTTTGAAAACTGATGAACAAAAGAATGGAGGGCACTATTCACATGAGAAACAACTCATCCATAAGAAATTTTATGAGCTGCTAAATATTTAACAAGTTCACACTTATTCCCAAGACCATATGCAAGAATGTGCGGAATTCAACCAAAAAAAAAGTAGAAATTTAAAAGTGCACATACCATGCCAGAAAAATAAACCCTCACACAATTAGTATATGTTTCACAATTACGATACTAGGGGGGGGGGGGGGGGAACTGTTCGGTATTTTTTTTTTTTTTAAATAGTAGTTTGAACAGAGGCATTATATGAAATCCAAATGAGACAGAGAAAGCACCTAAGATATTGAATGCTTCCTTGGCATTCATAGAATTCCTGCAAGGGTATGATACCAGGATCAAGCAGCATGCATTATAGTTTGTCAAAACAGGTGGAGAAAGGTCAGGTGTTGATTAAACACCTTTTCTTCAGCAGATGGGAACCTTCAAAAGCATCATCTGGCAATCTATCATTTCCGTATTTCAGAAAATCAGCAGAATTACCATCCATAGGATATGGCCAGCTATTCCAAGACATATCAGATTCCCTCCCATCATGAAAACTGGCATCCCATGACCTACACCTTGCTGAAAAGTAAAAAGGTAAATAATTATTCCCCACTGTCATCCTTAGAGAACTGCACAAAACTCTACAAATCAACTATAAGAACGGCTGATTAAAATCACCCTGGAGATGTCAATAAACAAAAGCTGAAACAAATCCTCGACCTCAGTTTCATCCCAGAAATCAGCATTAAACATGAAAACCATAAGAACAAAATTCAAAATACTGCAGGGGCCCATATCCAATATGATATTGAAGGACAAAATATACTTCTGTCCCTGGTTCGGGAGTTAATTAAGAATCGTACATATCAAGGCAATCCTTTTTTCTTTTCTCTTTCTTTCTTTTTCCTTTTTTTAAAGCATAGTTGTTGAGACACAAAACTAGAGCCAAGTGAAATGCCTTGAATACCTCTCTAGAATTAGGCAACGTCCGTTTCACCAGGAATACAGTTGGTTTTGATTGTCCTTCAGCAAGTGCAATATTTTCTTAAGTGGCAACAACAAAATCCAGATGCATATAGAAAACAAAGAATCCATCATTCAGAAATTTAATAATAACACAGTAAGGGTTTTTGAACTTGGATATTATAATTTTTTGAAGAGCAGGATATTACAAATTGGTTCGTGGAAAACAAGTATAAAAGGCATGATCCATGACTGACTTAGAAATATTAATTGCATGAAAGAAAAAACAAAGGAAAATTACCATCCCATGTATCATCATTAATGCTCTCAGTTTTACCAAATGTCTTTCTGTCTCCAAATGAGCTCTTCATTCTACCATGGCCATCAAGTTGCATGTTGTCTGTGACGGTAGATAAATTATTCTTTAGCTTGCAATATGAATCCTCCATCTCCAGTGAAAATTCCAAAGGATGGCCTCTTCGCGGCATATCAACATTTTGCATTATTGCATCCTGCATTTGGCAAATAACACAATCAGAGTAAAATGAGCAGCTTAAATCTTTTCGCATAGCTTGCATTTCCAATGTGGAGCATCAGTTCAGCTTTAGCATGTCCTTTACCCAAAAGATATACTAAAAAATCATTCAAGAATATTGTGATGTGCAAGTACTAATGCACTCACATTTCTGCACTATCATCACTGCAAACTGTATTTTCATTCGAGCTAATGCATAAAATAAATAAAAATTAACTGCACAATTGCAAGGAAAAGATGGGAACATCGACAGCTTTTTTGACATAAAAGATGCGGCAGGTAAACAGAAAATCAAGTAGAATCTTTCATGCAGGTTAACTAGCATACGTGTCAGAAGGAAAGAAAGGAATTATTTACGAAAATGAAATAGAAAATTGAAGGGGGAATGATCTAAAATATAAACAAGGCAGAAATTTAATGTTCAGACTTCAGATGGAGGTACATTCAGTAATGCACTTGCCACTTCAACTTCAAGGTCATCCAGCACATAATCAAGGTTCTTTGATGAGGTTATTTGCCTTGCAGCCTTCAACGGTGAGGCGTAGCCATAGTTATCATACCTACAGTAACATGAAAATTTAATTACTTCTTAGATGGTGTTCAAATTCATAGGTTACTGCCAACGTAGAGTTTCTTCAATTTGATGAGCAAGATACAATTGCAGCTCTATACCATACAAAGCAAAACAAAGTGAAAGATATGGCACACAAAAAGAGAGACATAAAAATTTCTATGCATTTGTCATGCATGAACATGACAGGCTCTACGGAACTTCCACCTTGAAAAAAAAATCAGATCAGCTATATTGGGCACAATTTTAATATGTCAGCAGTCAACACGTAAATTATATGGAAATATGTTATGATATATGTGTTATCTCAACTTCCTTATAGCATCATCCGATAAAATGGCATAATAGTCGCATTGAATTAATATCCCTTGAGAAGATTTCCTAATGGTTTCAGAAGGATGGTCGCTAAAGCAAACAATAAAATTGTGTTTCTAATCAAGCAATGGTAGAATTCAATGACAATTATAAACTGAAGGGTTCCACAAGATCAAGAAGGTTGCAGTTTATATAATTATATTCTCAAATATTTATTCAGAAAATTAAATGCAAATTCCACTGGAACACAGACACAAGCCTAAATGGGTTCGAGTACCTGCCAGGTTGTCGTGGTGAGTAGGGTGGTGTTTCTGCTCCCACTTTACCCAAACCTGACATGCAAATGCAGGCATCAAAATAGTTCTGTGGATGACAGAACAGTAATGACAAGTATAGAACAAATTATAGGTATAAACTCATAGGTTAAGGAACTTCATTAAGCCAGTTTCTGTTAAAAATCGGAGAAATTGTTAAATACGAGGTAAAACTAAAAAGACTTGGTATTTAGATATGCATGTCTAATACCTAAACTATCATACAATAGGGAAACGTTGTACCTAAACAGAAATTGATGACGATCTTAAGGATTATTTTCAGTAAAATCTTCAAAAAAATGATTTCCTCATAGGAGCATACAGAACTTTTTTTGAGCACCCAGTCAAGTTTTCAGTCAGAAAACAGAATTAAAACAAGAGAGCAAATTTAAACATTTTCAGCAGGCTGCAAAGGTCAAGTATGCAAAACATTAGAGATACCTGTAATAAAGAGTGTACGCAGAGGTCTAGTACATGAACCTTGCACACTCTTCATGATAAATGAAAGTAGAAAAGAGATGGAGAAGTGCATTTATAAGAGTCGTGTTTATTTGTGCAGGACTAATAGGTCCTTTGAATGACTTTCTGTTATTCCTTGCATATTCCTGATTATTTTGAAAGATTTTCCAGCTTCCTGCTCATCACTGGTGTGGTGATTCCTTTAGCTTGAGAAGAGAACCTTATGCAACAACTCTTCTTCTGAAACTATAGGTTTTGGCAAGATTTCAAGCAAAAACCACAAACATTGGGAGATACTATTGTAGAAGATGCTTTGTTTTGTATAGTAAATTATATGCCCCGAGATCCAGTTGACCAAAAATGCGAGTGAATTTGAATTGACAGTGCAATGAGTGAAGTATTAACCTTGCCTTCAAATTCCAAATCAACAAGACCTTACCTTCAACTGAAAATGCAACATGAGCTTCTTGTGCTGTACTTCCATCTGAATTTCCATTTGGCTCGTCATCAGCAAGCAAATCAAAAACAGATGGTGCTGGAAAACAAATCAGAGATGAAAGAACACATTTACAAGAATTTCCAATGCATACATATAGCTTCTTAACAGCTAAGACCTTAACTGAAAATCTCTAGGAACAATCCATGAATAAAGTGCCAGAAGCAACTAAAATGAGAGCTGTATATAAAGCAAAACTTTTGTCTGATGAATATTTGCTATTTACATTGCTGAGTTGTTGTCTTGCAAGGATCCAGTTTCTTGTTGGTTCCATTGAAAGCTTTGCTACGATTATTTGAAGAGCTAAACAGAGCCCTGTAATAAAATGAAAACCAATTCAACACTCGGACTAGACTAGTCCAACAGATGATGCTAGATGAGTATATGTCCAATGGAGTGCAACATGATGATATAAGTAAACTAATTTGTGTCAGTTTAAACTTGTATGGCTTTCTTGAGTTCAACTGAGCAAGTAGAAGGGCGTTTGATAAAAACAAAACCATGTGCATGCACTCACTTCTTCGGGGATACAGTCTCTGGTTGGTAGCCTGTTCCTGTTCAGAATAATAACAGCAGCCACTAAACATCATCTAGCGCTTAACAAAGTCCAGATAAATTAGAAAACAAGGCTTGATATCACATAGTAGTGGCACAAATTAGGAAAAATACTTGTTCTCTTGATTTCAACAGACTGCGGAGGGCTGACAGGGTTGGCTCGAATTATTGGTGGATTCATGGAGATATGTGAGTTGACTGTTGAAGCATTGACCTTTGGATCTTCCCTTCCTTAAGTGGTGGGACAAGAAGCAAATAGCAGAAAAAGGAAAGAAAATAAAATTAGAAAATGATGTTTGAAGAACATACGAATGACAGTTTCTATCAAAACAAAAGCATTTACAAGAACCAATTTTATCAGCTAATGTAAAAGTAGGTCGATACAACTACAACATTGAGCTTCCCTTTCAAAAGTTCATTATCAGTGTGATTATTCTCGTTTCCCAAATCAGCATTCGTAAGTTATACCAAACAATAGTACAAATATAGAAATAATCTTTTTGCAAGCTTTCAGATTTAAGATTCATTTTTGGAAAGAGTTTCAGAAAAATAAATGGAAAAAATAAAGAGTTTTTTGCAGATTTGTTTACTTTAACCAGTAGAGTTTGTGGTGAAAAACTAGAAGATTATTGATTACAACTGACAGGTCTAACACAAAGCCTGAATATTCTTTGCAGGGGCATAAATTGCAGTGAATCATCAGATGGGTGATCGAAGCAAGTTCATTCGCATATTACATTTCACTCTTCTTTCCTTCTCTCGTTTCCTGCTTGGTATTTACAAATCTAAATCTGATATAGCTCCACATCACACCTTAATCACAGTTCTCAACTAGTTTAAAACAAGCAAGGGGAAAGACAAAAAAATACCACGGAATTCAGAAGGTTACCAAGGTGGCAAGCGGGCGTGCAGTCTTCAGTAATTTTTGACCAGTTCTGCAAACTAATAACGTCCAATGATCGATGTTCTCTATAATTCTCCCCTTGTATGCTAGCCCCTTCTTCCCAGTTGTCTAACCCAGCTGCCTGCTGATGCTGTTTCCTTCTCTTTTGTTCAAAATAGTGCTTTTGCCTAAGAAATTCCGTAAGCAAACGTAAATATACATACGCATAACACGCTAAGGGCAAATTGATGTTTTCTTAGGTGCTTTTTTGTTTTTTTTTGAAATTCTCGTATCAAAACCATCCAAAAACACCCAAAAAAAGCATCATGCAACCCAAACGCACTTTCAAATCACTTTTAAAAACACCCAAACTGCAACACCAAAAGGTGCTAATGCAATTCTCGGAAAATATTAGCCCAATGGTGATGCTACATTGCATGATACCAACAAAGAAAAAAAAAACTGAAATTTCAAAACGAATCAGTTTCCGTACCTCTTCTGAGTAGATCTCCTTGACTTATAAATTTTCACAGGATACAATGCAAAGACAGAAATTTTTCAACGGTTAGATTTTAGAATGCAAATTCAAATACCAATGAATTCATACAAACTTGCAATTAGAATTCCAAAAGCAAAACAAAAATAATAATAATAAATAATAACAAAACGGAAAAGGAAAAGGAAAAGAACATTTTAGAGAAGTTAGAGTGAGAGAGAGAGACTTACAGTAGTGACTTTCCTTCTTGATCCTCCCATCCATTGCAGCATTCTGCTAAATAGTACTAAAAATTCAATGCACAAAACTCTCTAAAATCAGAAAAATTGCGAGAAATTGATTGGTGGAATCTGAAGCGAATGCAAAGGGGAAAAACTCGATAAATTCGGTTCTTCAGTCTGCAGAATCTCGTGGAAATTGGGGTTTCGAAACCTAGACGAAGAAGAGAGGACGCTTAATTTGATTGCTAAATGCCAAGAGAGCAGAAAACTAACCGCCTGATTATGCTTTTCTAAAGGCGCGAACTTAAATAAAAAAGGCGTTTTGAACATTCGGAAGTGAACGACTCGTCATTTAGTGCAGAGAACAAATGCATGTTTTTTATGGTAAATTATAATTAGTCCCTCTAGTTTTGCGAAACGAATTGATTAGTCTTCTTTGTTTCAAAAGATAATTAGTTAGTCATTTTTGTCCAGTTTGTGCTCTTTTCTAATTTGTTTTGGCTTTTTTTTTTTTTTGAAAAAAAATAGAGATTATGAATTCATTGAAAAGAAAAAAGATATTTTTTTAAAAAAAATTTACTCTCTCTTGTTTATTTTTCTAAGAGGCAAATTTAGCTTTAAAATATAAGACAGTTCATGTAAATGTCTATAATTAAGTGAATTTTTTAGGAGCATCTGTTCAGCAATTATAACATGAATTATGTTCCATTTAAAGAATTTTCTGACACAAAACTCCCCATAAATCTCAACTTTTTTTAATCATTTTTATAATACAATTGATTATGACATCCATCATTTTTCTTATAGCATTTCTCTTTAGCTAATGATTGTGAAATTTCATTTTCCAATATATATATATATATATATATATATATGAAAGTAATAATCTTTGTTTTTGTGGGCTCATTTAAATCAAAGTGTTCATATTCAGTTTATCTTTATATAATATAGTAATTTTTCAGTCTATCATTATATCCCTAATTGAACTAATTTTATTCTGTCTTTTGTTTTTTTTTTCAACAAAATTTTTTATTGTTTTTTATTATATATTTTGTGTAAAATTTATGAAAAAATAATCTTTTTTTTTCATATAGTCTCACGTTGAAAAAATATGATTTCTTTGATTTTTTTTAAATAAGATAATTTCTTCAATTTGTCATTTTTTTATGAAATCATTCAATTAATTTTTTAATTTATTTTTTATATAATTTTTTTATTAAGACAATATGATTTTTTTCCCTCTATGTAGGGATTTTTGAATAAAATTTTAGAATGTTATTTTTTTTCTATTTAAATTGTTGTAGGTTTTTATTTAAGAATTAATGCATATAAAATAACAAATTATGTTTTTTTTTTCAATTGAAAGTATATGAAAAACATGAGGAATAATGAATCAAATATATTTTGTTTTTCTTTTAACCTTTGATGTACAATATATTTTAGAAGTTCGTCAACATATATAATGTGGGGTATTAAATTGAAATAATTTGATTCTACTAGACCTAGAATGTATTACGGGCAACAAACTAGTAAATATAGTAAAACAAAATAAACTTTCACTCTAGCTAAGTCTTTATTTTGGCTTTTAGTGATTATTTTTATTTTTATTTTTATTTTTTGTTTGTAATCCTTCTTTTATTTTAGTCATTGAAGTTTTATTATATTTGATTTTTTTCTCTCTCTATAAGAATATTTTTTACTTCTTCGTTAAACTTTGAATTGTATTTTGGTCCGTATTTTGTGACCTTTTTTTATTTTGGTTACTAAATTTTTATCATGTTTGATTTTTATTCTTACTACACTAAAAATAAATGCAATTTAACTATCCTAAGCCTTTTTTTTTCTTTTTGCGTTTAGTGAAACTTTTTTTTCTGTTTTGATTTATGTTTTGTGTTTTTTTATTAAATTTTTATCATTTTTAATTTTCATTCTTACCTTATGCATAATGGGTTTTTGAAATATTTTAATTTCATCTCGATTTGATATATATATATATCTTTTTATTTTGGGTGGTTTCTCTCAATCTCATGAACAAACTATAGATGATAGACATATGGTGAAAACTAATAATTCAAAATTTTAAAAACCATCACATCATTATTTTTATTATCAATTATTATACATATTTTTAATAAAATATATGTTTGTATCAAATAACATTTAATTAATAATATTATATTACTCAACTTTGTAGATTTTTTTTAGTTAATCTCACAACGCACATAATATATGATTTGATCTCTTTATTATTTGGTCTTTTTTTTTTTTTTTGCATGATAATTTTAAATAATTATTTTGAATTCTGTATTTTATATAAATAAATTGGTAAAAATGTTGTGGCTAATCTCACAACAATGGGCTTTATATGCTAGTATATGGTATTATTAATTTGGTCTATGTGTTTACTTGCCCTCGAGCCTAATAGCTGAAAGGAAATCGAGCTTCTCTATTTTTTTTTCAAGAAAAAAATAAAATCATTCTTCAGTCTTCCAATCTCTTATATCCTCGTCAAAGATGGCGGCATGCTGCGTTCCTTCTACAGATGTGATAAAGTCTGAAAAGAATAAAAATGGATTTGGATAGGATAAGATTGGGAGAATGAATGGACCGGTCTTGACGACCATCACATTGGAACTTGATAAGCAAGCAAGCAAAACATCTTAGAACATGCCAAGATACCTTAAGTAATTAGCATACACACTGAAAAAAATCTTTAATAAATAACCTAAACTAGACCTAAGCAATGACATCACATGCTGCAGCTATAAATAGCTGACGCTACCCCATTTCTTGAATCACTACAGCAATTTGATAACACAGAGATCAGTTGAAAATGGAAGACAAAGTGATCGTACTGGATTTCTGGTCAAGTTCATGGGCGATGAGAGTGAAGGATGCTTTGGCAGAGAAGGGGATCGCATTTGAGTCCCAGGAACAGAACTTGATAGACAAGAGCCCTCTGCTTCTTGAAATGAACCCAGTTCATAAGATGATTCCTGTTCTTATTCACAATGGGAAGCCCATTTGCGAGTCAATTAACATTGTCCAATACATTGATGAGGTTTGGAATGGCAAGTCTCCCTTGCTACCCTCAGATCCTTATCAGAGATCCCAAGCCAGATTCTGGGCTGATTACGTCGACAAGAAGGTGTGATCAGTGACATGTGATTTCAATACTTAAAAACTTTCCCTTTTTTTTTTTTTTTTTTTTGGGTGTGTGCTTAATCGTTTATTTGAATGCAGATCTATGGCAATGCCAAGAAGTTATGGAAGGAGAAAGGAGAAAAACAAGAGGAGGTAAAGATGGAGTTTATAGAAGGATTGAAAACCCTCGAAGGAGAGCTTGGAGAGAAGCCTTATTTTGGTGGTGAAGGCTTCGGATTTGTGGATGTGGTGTTTGTTCCTGTCACCAGCTGGTTCTACTCTCTTGAGATTTGTGCGAAATTCAGCATCGAAGCTGAGTGTCCAAAGATCACTGCCTGGATCAAGAGGTGCATGGAAAAGGAGAGCGTGTCCAGTTCACTTGCCGATCCTCATAAGGTCTATGACTTTGTTTTGCTGCTTAAGCAGAAAATGGGTATAGAATAGTAGGCTTTGCAGTTCTAGTAAATTAAGTTTGGGATGAGAAGAGGGTACTGTTCACCTGTTCCGACACTCGAACTCTACCGGATTCCGATCATTGAACTTTTTTATTTTATTTTTCGATGTAATGCATGGATATTTTTCATTATCCTTCCGAATGCAGACATAGGCAATGATATCATTGGTGCCTGATTCTGATAATATGATAGGCCTTGTTTGTTGAGTAAATTATAAATTAGTCTCTCTAGTTTCAAAAAATAATTATTTCATATTTTTCATATTTTTTTAATTTATTTTGATTTTTTTGTTTTAAGGAAATAGAAAAAGAATAAAAAACAAGTAAAAATATATAGAAAGATTTACAAGAAAAAAATATTTTATAAAATAAAAAATATTAAATAAGTCGTGATCAATACCGATTAAAAAGACTAAATAATTATTTTTTAAACTAAAGTGACTAATTAATTCGTTTTTCAAAATAAACAAGAGGGATTAATTCATAATTTGCTCCTTGGTTGTTAAGAAAAAAAAAGGCTCAAAATTACTGAAAAGAGAGTCATGCCAGGAAACACATTGTGAAATACTGGAATAAGTTATAAGAACATACATGTTTGTTGAGATTAAGCTATACATAAAGTATTAACCCTAGGGATTAGATTTACGGTTAAAAAAGTTCCATTTTCTTCTTTAATTTTCTGAATTCGAACCTCCATTTTTTTTTTTAATTTCTAAGGTATTCCAAACCTAAAAGTCTAGACTAACTCTTCGTTATTCGGTTGGACATATAAGATAGGCACGGTTAATTAATGAGTTTTCTATATATACAAGGATTCGAAATTGAGATCATTTGTTTAAATAATTCAACTTTTTTCCATTCAAACTAACTCACTTAGGTTAAAACTTGTTTTTCTAAATACATAAAATGGACGTGAGCATAAATTCTTAAAATTATTTTGAGCCAAAAAAAATTAAGTTTTAATTAGAATACATCAACAGTCCAATAAAAAAAAAAAAAAAAGACAAACATAAACACATCTTAAAAGTTAAATCCATCCCTGTTAAGTCCTTAAATCGTGGCTTAATCATATGGGCTTGATTACTTATATTTGGACTGCATGAAACAATACATGATAAACTCATGGTAATGGGCTCAGACACTATAGCCCAGTAAGAGTGGCAAACCCTAGCAAAGAGACACTGTTCTTCTCTATATATACCACAATAAGATAAGACTCCAACTCCCAGCGGCGGTTCTTGGTTGCTCGTAGTCACGTTCTGTATATTCTCTGTTTAGTGATTTTGGTTGATTGATACCCATGATATGTGTCATTTTTTGTTTTGTTTGTTTGTGGAAAGTAGTAGATGATGATTCTGTGTACAATAAGCCGATGCTCTGGAGTAAAAAAGGAATGAAGGAAGCATGGTAATGTGCACGGAAATGGATCCAGATATGGAGGGTCAACATGTCTGCTCCTTATGATGCTTCTTTTTTTTGGAAGCTTTGATTTTGGGGCCTGGTTTAAACCCACATTTTTTGTTCTTTTTCTCTGCGTTCTTTTCTGCTCGTGATCTATGCCTGGTTTCATCTGTGAATTTGTTTTTGGGTTTTTACAAGAAACCTGTTTTTTAAAAATACGTTTTGTGTCTCTTTTCCTTTCCACCTTCGAGAAATCTTACTAAAAATCGCCTTCAATCACCAAAAAAAGAAAATAAATTTGACTGTTTTTAACATTTTCTCTTTTTTTCCTCTTTAACCTGCTAGTCTGCATGATTTTCTTTGTTTTTCTGCTTTATCTGGGTTAAATTACATCTATATTAAACTTATAGATCATTGGTTAAAAAAAAATCGATAGATCATAGTTTTTGGAGTCAAGCCTCTCAACCACTTTACTGTCTATGTTGAACATTGTTCAACAAGAAATTTTTTTTTTTTTTTTTTTTGAGATAGTTAAATTTAGATTCTTCCAAAAGAATTCCAGCTTATGAGCGTAGATTCTTGAATCCAAGTAATCTGACAACGCCTACTAAAAAAATGGCTTGCTATCTCCAACCTAACGTAAAGTTTAAATTTTTTGTATAAAATATAAATATTACAAAAAATAATAAAGTAAAATGTACTGTTACTATTCATGGTATTATTTTTATTGAATTATTTGAAATATGTTTATTCATATTTGTTCATACTATTAATCTAGACTAAAATATATACTCTCCCTCTCTTTGAACAAAACCCAAATCGTGATTGTCACCCTGTACAATCGATTAATCTTCATGTCATTTGACTTAGATTAAAATCTGAAAATGAGTTTTTCTTTGATATTAGTTAATCACACATCAAAATCTTTTCTCCAGATGAACATGAAATTTTTGTGATTTGAGATTTGGTGGATCGAGAGCCTTTGATAAGCTGATTTAAGTTATTTTATTTTAGTTTTAGGAATGGAAAACTGAAATTTTTTTGCGAAATTTTTCAGTTCATTGGAATAAATTATTAATTAATCTCTTTTGTTTTGAATGATAAATTATTTAATTTTTTTAATCATCAAATTTTTGTCAAATCTATTATAGCAAACACCTAATGTCTAAAATATTTTTTAATATATATTTTCAATCATAAAGATTATGTTTTGGTACTCAAGGAAAAAAAAATGCGTGGATAAAAAAAATAATACATAAAAATAAAGTCAATTTGAGAATAAAAAATATTACAACAAGGATGTATTATTATTGTTCCAACGAAAAACTGACAAAAAAAAATTAAATTATTGAAGAAATTAAAACATAAAAAACTAAATAATTAATTTTTAAAATAAAAAAAATCAAAATATAAAAAAAATTATGGAGACCGATAGGTTAAACAGATATTGTAAAAAAAAATGTTATCTTATAAACTCATAACACACTTCCCTTACCTTAATAAAATGTTATCTTCTATCTCTTTTGAGCAACATTAATCTTGTTTTTTACAAACTCATAACACATTTCGCTTAATAAATATAATCTCGTACCTCTTCTTTAACAACTTGAGATAAAGATCATTAACAATCTTTTGAAATATTCACAACAAACTAGGGGTGTTAATGCGGGGATGCTATTTTCATTTTTTATACTTATTTGATTCGTGGATTTTGTTTGGTGATGCAAACTTTTCAGGGACTCAAATGTAAAATTGGAAACTGAAAATTCATAGGATACAATAAATTAAAAACGACCTTATTGCAAAGTCTTAAAAAAAAAAAAGATCACTTTTGAGTTCATAGATTTACAGTCACACCCACCTTTATATCGTAATTACCCAATTGTAGCTAAATCCCACGTCCAAGACCATCTCTCTCTTTTTTTATTTTTTGAATACTCTCACAGTATATATCAAGAGTATTAAATGATCATTTCACCTAAAAGCTTAAACTGATAGGTTTTTTTTATTTTTATTTTTTGAACACTCTCATAGTATAGATCAAGAGTATTAAAGATCATTTCACTTAAAAACTTAAGTTGATAAGTGGGATCCTAGAATATAATTTATACTAGTCTTTAACACATTTCTTTAAGTGAAATGCTCAATATTTAGGGCATAAAACTAGCATATGTCTACATTGTCTTGTGTTTAATACTTGAGAAATTAGGGATAGTGAAATTTGAATTCGGGACCTCAAGATTAACCAAGCTCGATACCATATTAAAGGATCATATAACGTAAAAGTTTAAGGTGATAGGTGAGGTTCAGAATATAATTTATACTTAGTCTCTAACATCAAGCATAAATCACGAGAAAAAAAACAAATTGACAAAGGAAACCAGCATAGATCACGAGCAAAAAAACATAAAGAAAAGGAAAAAAAATATGGGTTTAAACCAGGCCTAAAAATGAAAGCTTCCAAACCAGCATAGATCACGAGCAAAAAACATAAGGAAAAGACAAAAAAAATGTGGGTTTAAACAGACCTCAAAATGAAAGCTTCCAAAAAAAAAAAAAAGCATCTTAAGGAGCAACATATTGGCCCTCCATCTCTGGATTAATTTGTGGACGCATTACCATGCTTCCTTCGTTTCTTTTTCAAGCAGACCCATTCACTTTCACCAACTTCAGAAGCTGGGTAGTTGTTATATTTAATAGACTAGTCGGCTCCTGCAAGCAGATGATGTTAGATTAAAAATAATAAAACAGTCAATAATTGGAGTCGTGTAATCAATGTATTAAGGATATTATTTCTAATTACAATGCTGAATGCTGACAATAGAGGTTGTATTTATAAACTAGTTCAGGCTGGTTTGGTGAAAAAAAATGAAGCAAAATCAAAGAATACTATCAAAAATCTTATTATTGCACACAAGAAAGGGCAAACAAGTCATTTTGGCTTAACTTGGCCCAACTTAATTACGCGTGAACTTAATCTATCTTACTTGTTTTTTATAAACTCATAACACACTTTGCTTAATAGATGTCATTTTCGAAAAATTTTATAATACGTAAAGAGTAACATAGTAGCGTATACAGTAGTTATTTCTTGAGTCCGATTTGAAAAGAGAGATAGACAAATAAAAAAAAGGAATTACATCCATACCTATCAAAAGTGATAAGATAATTTTCATGTCTCGTTTAAATTTTTTTATTCTCTCTCTTTTTGTGTGTCTATCTCTCTTTTTAATGTGGACATAACGAATAAATACTATACGTATTACTTAGATACTCCTTATGTATTATAAAATTTCTCTCTCATCTGCTACCTCTTCTTTAGCACCGTGGTATAAAGGGTATTAACAACCTTTTGAAATATTCACAACAAATTAGGAGGATTAATATGGGGATGCTATTTTCATTTTTAATACTTATTTGATTCGTGGATTTTGTTTGGTGATGCAAACTTTTCAGGGACTCAAATGTAAAATTGAAAATTGAAAATTCATAGGATACAATAAATTAAAAATGACCTTATTGCAAAGTCTTAAAAAAAAAAGATCACTTTTGAGTTCATAGATTTACAGTCACACCCACCTTTATATCGTAATTACCCAATTGCAGCTAAATCCCATGTCCAAAACCATCTCCCTCTTTTTTTATTCTTTTTCTTTTGTAAACACTCTCACAGTAACGTTACACAAGGAAGAAAGAGGAGGAAGAATTGAAATTAAAAGGACCTTGGCTTTGCAACAATAGTAGAGTGCTTCAATATGTGCAAACTGAACTGTCCACCTTTCTCTGCAGTGTCAATCTTCGACTGTCCAGGAGGAGGCAAGAGCTCGAAGTTCTGTACCAAGCGTCCCAAAGTAATGCCAAGAATCGGCAATGCAAGAATAATTCCAGGGCAGCTCCTCCTCCCAACTCCGAACGGAAGGTACCTGAAATCATTGCCGTTGGCCTCAACCTTTGCCTCCTCTTCCAAGAACCTCTCTGGCCTGAATTCTTCTGGGTTTTTCCAGTTAGCAGGGTTGTTGGCGAGCCACCAAGCATTCACCAAGATCTTGCTCTCAGCTGGAATGTCAAAGCCTCCAAGCTTGGCATCGTTAAGGTTCATGTGCGGGACAAGCAGAGGAATTGCCATCCTGAGTCGGAGAGTCTCTTTGATCACAGCATTGAGGTATGGGAGCTTGTAGGTGTCAGGCTCCGTGATCTGGTGACCAGGTCCAAGCTCGGAATCGAGCTCGTCGCGCAACTTCTTCTGGATTTCAGGATGGTTCACAAGCTCAGCAATTCCCCACTCGATCGACCATAGTGTTGTTTCAATTGCTGTGACATAAAACAATCAATTTCTTTTAGAAAATTAATATCATTATTGTACTATTAAATTCGAGTCTCTAATTGGGTTGCAGAGAGAAGAAAAAACCCCATCATGATCATGCTGGCTTGATATTTAAAAGGGGGTAGGTGAGAAAATAATTTTCCATCCGACACCGTCATGAAGTGGAATAGATGGATAAGGTTCATGTCTGAAAAGCCTAAAGTAATGTTTCTGATTTTAGTTGGTTCGACGACATCACATATGCCTGAACTGCATTAAAACAATGCAGGTAGATATTGACATCCCCACCACTCACAGCTAGTGGATCGGATGGCCTAACTTTTGGCCAAACCCCTGTATATAAAATGTGAAAAATTCAAGTTGGGGGAGGAAATCTGAAAGCCAGGTTTTGATATGCTTGAAAAGTTAGGTGTTCGGTGAAGGAAAACGATTAGACAAGAAACACCAGCTATGAACGAGTTTCAAAGTGAATCAAACTGCAAAAGAGACTACGGATCTAACTCAATATTTGAAACATCAACATCACTTGTTTGTCATAGATGAAAACGATGTGTACTTACTAATAGACGTGGATCAGGGTTCATCCCTACTTTTCCCTGCTCATTTATGACTACAACTTAAAAATATGCATGTTATATTGCAAATTGTGAAGGAGACATATATATATATATATATAGATTATAAAGAGGTTGGTCAATTTAACGTAAGAAAAAAGAAATGTTCTTGATAGAAAAATATAACCAAAATATCAAAGATGTTTCTTGCCCAAAAAGACAACTATGATGACAAAACATGAGTAACGTTAATCATACATTAATATGTTATAGAATTCACCCATCAAAAATATCAATTATTTGATTTATAAAAGTTATTAACAAAGTTGAAATTTACTTATTAAAGATATAAGATTTTGTTTGTAAGTGAATTCTATTAGATAACTATATACGGTTTACATTAATCATAAAATAAAATAAAATAAAAATGATGGTTTTTTTTCTCCAATTCAATAGGAATAGATTGCCAAAACGTATAGAATTAGAAGGATAATCTTATATTAAATTCCCACTATATATACCCATCAAATGAAGAACCGTTGATGTTGATTATCATAATCTAAACATTCTTAATTTTCATAGGGTTGACATTTAGGGTACATGTTGATTTATTTCCAAATATGTTCAATCAAGTTGCCCCTTTCATAAAGTCACAAATACCCTTAAAGTTTTGCAATAAAAACAATAAAAAAAAAGTGCGAAAAATACGAAAAATAAATAAATAAAAACATAAATACCAGCAACGTTGATGTTCTCCACAATGTAGAGAACGTTGTCCTCGTTGATCTCTCCTTTCTTTTGAGCGTCCAAAATATGATCAATTGCGCATTTCAAGCCTTCATTGCTCATGCTCTTTGTGCTTCCAAGTTTCCTGTGGCCCAAAAACAAGAATATTTATTAGCACATACCAACCGGCCTGCCTCACTCAAAACAAAACAAAATAAAAATACTTTTTTTTTTGTCTGACAGAATTATTATAGTTTGTTAAATATTTAACAAGTAAATTATAAATTAATCAGTCTTAAAAGCTAATTATTTACTCATTTTTGTCTATTTTATGTATTTTTTATTTTTTTAAACAGAAAAAATAAATAGATATTATGAAAAAAAATAAGATGTCTTAAAAACGTCGAGATCGAACAATAAAGACAACGAAACTACCAGTATATGGATGATTTCTAGTTATCTATCAAAATCTATCGTCTCAGCATCATGTGCCGTACAATAATAAAAATATCAAACGAAAAAAAAATTAAAAAATATTAAAAGTCCTTGCAGTTTTTGTGCTACTAACAAGACATTAATTATTAACCCGATCCAAGATAATTAATTAATTAATTAAGAATCTAAATGGGCAAAAAAAAAAAAAAGAAAGAAAGAAGAAACTTACTTCCTCTCTTCGACAAAGTAGTCCTTGAAGAGTTGCAACCTTCTCTCTTTAACCTCCTTGCAGATCTTCAAGTAGCCTCTCAAGAAAGGTCTCAAAATGGGAATAAAATCTCCATAATTATAATCAAAACTCTGTGCCAATCTGCTCCTCTCACCATTCAAAGCCTTGAGCTTGTTAAACAAAGGATCGTCTTCACTCTCAAATCTTCTATCAAACATAATTCTATACATATTATTATACATCATGAGTTGCAATCTCCTCCTCAGGACAATCCCATTAGTTGCAGACTCAGGGTTTTTCTTAACATCCTCGACGACTCGAGCTGCTTCATCTTCCCAACCATACCTATACTGTTGCACGACCTTGTTTGTGAAAAAAGGGACAGTCATAATCCTCCTCATCTTCCTCCAATGCTCACCGTAGACAGTGAACACCATGTCTTGTCCTTTTCCGGTGAAGATATCAAAGACAACATTTCTTGTTCTCGACCCGAACTCGACACCCTGTGTGTGTAAAACGTCTTTAGCCAGGTCAGGAGAGGAGACGACAACAAGGTTACGTTGGCCCATACGGAGGAGGAGGATGTCACCGAATTTCCTGGCCAAGTCGGCGAGGTTACGGTGGTTCAGATCATCTCCGACTTGAAGCCAATTGCCAAATACAGGGACTGGTAAAGGACCAGGAGGAAGCTTGAAACGTTTGCCACGTAGTTTTGAAACGAAAATGGCAACGAGAACAGCGACGAAAGAGCCCAGAAGGGTCTTCTCCAAAAGGAGGAGATCCATGATATTGGAAATGGCTTGCTTGTCCAAAAGATTTGGGACTTGTTTTGGTGAAAAGGAAGTGAATTTAAGAGGATAATGAGAAATTAGGTGGTGGATGGGAAGTGAATGGAGGATGAGGGGTGGTTTTATAAGCAAGAAAAATTACGAGGAAATGAACGTGGAGGTTGGAGTTGAAAACTCACGTTAGGTGGTGGGCGTGGGTACTTGCTTGGGTTGTGAGAGAAAGAGAGAGAGAGAGAGGGGGTGGTAGAGAGTTAACGGCGTTAGATTTGACGTGGTAGGAGAGTGACTTTCACAATTATATGTAGTAGGTAAGGCAGGTAGGTGGCCGAAAACGTCAGAAATTCGTGTTAATTTCCTAAATTTTTTGTAATTATCTATATGTGTGTGTGTAGTGAGTACGTGGGATCCACCGATGTATTATTATTAAGGAAGTTTTCTTTTTCTATTTTTAAACTTTAAAAAAAAATTATTCTTCTAAATACTTCTAATAAATTTTATGATACTAAAAAACACGATCAATACTTACTCTATGAAAAAAATAATATAAAAATAATAAAAATTTAAGTTTATATAAAAATATTTTTATCATTTTTAGTAAATTTTGATTTTTTTATATTTATCTCTCTTTTTAATATGGATGAAAAAAATAAAAATTAAATTTAAATAAAAATATTTTCATCATTTTAACGAGGTTGGATGGAATTCTTGGTTTGTATTTATTCCTTTTTTGAAATAAATTCATGAGATAAATATTAATAGATATCTTTGAATTATTTAAAACTCTGACGCTCGTGCGCTGACGTAACAAGATACCCTTCTCATCTCTTGAAATGGCTTGGAAGTTTTTTTTTTTTTTTAATGCTTCTAGTTGTTCAGAAAAGTAAAAACAATAACCTAATCCGTGACGATTTTCTTAACTAATATTTGATATTTGTCATGTTTGCAAAGTATTAGTTACATTATATGAGTAGATTATAAAGTATTTCCTTGAGTCGTGGGGAATAAATTAATTATTTTTGAAATAAAAGGAACTAATTTATAATTAACTCTAGACTATGATCCCAGAGTAGTGGGCGGTTGGAATGACCAGCATGCCTGCCCATTTGTCTCCTACATAATTTGACTTCCTTTGATAATGGAGACGTCTTTGTCTATGACTCGGAATCCGTTAACATTAAGGAGCTGTTTTGTACCGAGTAATAGAAATAGAATGATGTACATAGAAATGAAAATTTTATTTTTATATTGTAGTTTATTGGTTAAAAAATAAAATGAGAATGGGAATGAAAATTTACACATAATTTAATTTTCACATAAGATGTGAGAATAAAAAATAAAGAATGAGAATTAATTTTTTTCAAAATAATAATATATTTTATTTATTTATTATCTATTAACTATTTTTGTTATTATCACCACCGCACAACTACCACCACTGCCACCATCACCATCACTGCAACCATCATCACCATCATCATCACTATCATAACCACTACCACTGCTAACATTATCACAACCACCACCATCACTACAATAATCATTATCACAATCGTCATCACTATCGCAATCATTATCGCTACCGCCACCACCACCACTAGAACCACCATAATCATTACCATCACCTTTATTATTTTTATAACTATTATGGTTTAATAAAATTATTTTTTAATCATTATTTATATTTGTATATAAAATCAAATATTAAAAAATTTAAATTGCATTCCGATTCCTTATTAGTATTCCAAATACGGTATTGAAATATAAATACCTTTCCGATTTTTTAATTTCCATTTCGATTCCTGCATTTTCATTCTCATCACTTTATGTGTTATTTTATCAATAAATTATTGATTTAGCAATAAACAAATTGATTTCTAAACAAATTTCTAACTAACCTGCAATTAAATTAGTTAAATTTTTATATAGAAAAAAAACAATTTATGATTCTCAAGAGATGAAATTTTTTACCATGCAGTTTTTGTTATTAAATCATAAACCTCGTCATTGATTAATCACTGTCTTTTATTTTCCAACACTTATTTTTCAATACGTATCAAAACACATCAAATAATTATTTTCAAGTAGTTGTCATTAATATAGTTAAATAATGAAAGTAATATTTTTTTTTGAAAAAGATAGTTTTCATGTAAAATATTTTACATGCATGAAACAAAGAAAGAACCAAGTGTTTCGTTGTTTTCGATGAATGGGATATGACCATACCTTCTAACTTCACACATTTTTCTTGTAGCTAGGTTGTACTTGTCTATTTTTCTTGTGCCAACCTACCACGTTGGAAGGTTGACAGGTAGATCCAATTGTTTTGTCTGATCTAATGTTTGATTTGAACACATACGATAAAGATAATGAACCGGACTTACATGCCACCATTAGAACACCAAAACAACATACGATAAAGCTTTATATGTAAACTAAAAATATTGTACAAGTTAACGGTAAATATACAATAATTTTGTTATCTTAATCTTCCATTTGATATTTTTTAAAAAGTAGATAAGATATCTGAATATTGATTTATCATCGCTCTATATAAAACTTATACTGAATACTGATTTAAGGAGCATTCCTGGAGAAATATGACAGGAAAAAAAAAATTGATTGGATCCCAGTCTCGAAACGGTAAAGCTATATACGGTGTCAAAGAAGCATTTAAAATATAAAGTCTGTTAGGAAGCATTTAACAGTCTATTTATTATTCGTTACCTATATATGGGACATAACATCAAATGTACTGAAATATCTTTTTTTTTAGATTTATTTCATTTTGTGTCATAAAGTATGGAGTCTGCACATTAATTATTATATTATATTATTATTATATTATGCTTTATACTATACTATATAAACTAAAATAAAATGTTTTTTTAGCAATTAACAATGATTATCGCTGTTCATGATTGTCCTTTAGATTTTTAAATATTTTATTTTATTTTATTTTTTTCCCATCACCCTCGGTCTTTGTTGTTCCGTTTATTGTTCACTTGACCAGTAAACGCATTCCGTCCAAACGATCAACGTTTGTTTTTTAAATTTCCATCCATTTACTGTTCACGTGAACAGTAAAATAGCTCCCCCTCTCCTCTTTTTTCCTAAACATTGAACTATTTTTCAAAAAAAAATTTGTTTCTTAATAATGGTAAGTGTTAAAATTTTAAAAGAATCAACAATTAATTGGGTACTAAAATTTTAAAAGAACCAACAATTTATTTACTTTATTATTTATTTCTAAAGTTTAAAATATCTAATTTGAAAAAATAATATTTTTTTCAAAAAAATAATTATGTCTATAAGCACATACTATCACATAACATAATCTATTAATTAACAATTACATGAGATGTATTTCTCAAAAAAAAAAAAACATATATATTATAATAAAGAATTTTATTACTCATAGTTTGTCATTTATTACCATTTTCATTAATTTGTGGTTTCTTTTAAACTCTCGTCCAATTAATTTAAAATTATATTTACTCGTAATTTTGATTTATTTTAATATTATTCATCCAATCAATAAAAATTAAATTCATATTTTTTTCAAAAATCAATATTCTCATTAACATGAAATAAAAAATAAAATATCTGTTCAATTCTATATAAGCTTTAGTAATTTTTATTTTTGTTTTTCGACACAATCTTATAAAATACAAAAGTTTTTTAAAAAAAATTATTTAATTTTCTTTTTAGTTAATAATCCATGGATTGACAAGGATAAATCCTTTTTGTAAATAAAAAAATATGAAAAACACAAAGAAAAAATAGTTAAATACGAAATTTTTTATTAAAAAATTATAATTATTTTTTTATCTTTGATTTCATATATTGTTATAGATTCACATCATACAATAGATTGTTAAACTAAAATAATTTTTCTAAATAATTTTATATGTTTTATTCAACCCGCAGCGTAGCGCGGGTCAAAAATCTAGTTTATTTCTAAAAGTACGTCTTACGTATATATCAATCAACTTTAAGATATTTTTAGAAGTTATTATTTGTAATTTTGTAAAAATTAAGAAATTTATAGAAGGACCTTATGGATAATGAATAAAACATAAAAAATTTAATGGATAGAAAATAAATATTTGGATAGAAATTGATGTTAGAGAATAATATAAATAATATCTTAGAGTCTTGCCTAACGACTTACGCTTTTGGCTAAGATAGTCTTTTGAGATAGTATCGAAGCTTTGATGATCAAACGATCGCGAGTTCGAATCCTACCACCCTCACTTTACGGCTTGTACAAGTTTTAAGTCCAAAGGGTTTTCCCTCGCTTAAGGAAATGCGTTAAAGAATAATATAAATTATATCTTAGAATTGTACCTAACACCTTAAGTTTTTAGGTGAAGTTTTTAAATGAAATAATCATTTCACGGTTAATAGACATCTAAACTTTTCATCACAAAAAAATGTACTCCTGGGATTCACAATTACACCTTAAAATGGACCCACAATTACTCCATGAATCGATAACACTTGAGAAAAGAATTCGTTGCGGCTCAATTTTTGATATATATAAATTTTTTTGACCTTATGTAGTTTTAAAACGGACCCACAATTATTTCATGAATTGATAACATTTGAGAAAACGACTACTTTGGTGCTCAATTTTTGATTTTTTTTTAGTATCCAATTGTTGATTTCTCATTATTTACTATTCAAGTTTTGATTTTTTATTTGTTTTGATATTTGAATTCACTTAAATTTTGATTTTATTAACGTGTCCAGCAAAATCTGTAAAAAAAAAAAAAAAAGCAAATCAAGATGTTAAACTAACAATCTTTGTTATTTTTCACAAACAACCAAACATCAGCCACTTTGTTTCTAGAAAAAAAAAACAGAAAAGAAAAGGATATTCTACCCTTTTTTTAGAGAACAAATTATAATTAGTCTTTATAGTTTTTCAAAAAGAATTAAATAGTCCCTCTAATTTCAATAACTAATTAATTAATTTTTATATTTTTAAATCTATT